GAATTGAAAATAATGACCCAAAATGCAATTGTCGAAGTAAAGCAAAATGTCCACTAAATGGCAAGTGCCAATCCACAAGCATTATCTAAAAATGATTTATCGCAGCTAAAACCAACACAACAAATTTTATATTGGATTAACAGAAGGTAATGAAAAACCAGATATGACAATCACAAATCATCATTCAGTAATATTATTATTATTATTGTTATTATTATTGATATTACTATTATTATTATTATTGTTATTATTATTATTATTATTATTATTGTTATTATTATTGTTGTTATTATTATTATTATTATTACTAATATTTTATTAATCACCCTCTGTAAAATAAATTTACAAGGTAAAAACACAAACTAAGAAAAAGAGATAAAAAAAAGTATTATTTAGGAATGTTTTCTTCAAGTGTCTTTTTAAAAATTGTTCGCTGTTCTTTTACATTCCAACATTGAATCGCGTGTATCAAAATATGAAGAGTAGCTTCAGGAATTACATCCTCTAAGACTTTAAGTTTTACTTTTTTTTTTAACCAGCGTTTAGGTTTTCATATTCAGCTTATGATTATCACATAATTCTTTTATATCATCTAAAAAAGAAAATATAGCTGAACAGTAGTTAAGTTGGGAGTTAATATTTCAAAGGTTACTTTATTGTTTAAAAGGCGAATAAATAAATTTATTTTGTTTTGGTGTACATAATTTGACATCTCCTTAATTTTAAATAGAGAGTGTATGTAGTTTTTACTATACTGGGAGACATTAAAAATTGATTTAACTGCGTTCCTTCCAAATGTGTCGAGTCTTTTCATTATTGCATCTTTATTTTCACAGAGCTCTAGACCGTGGGTTAGCGTTGAAACTGCTAATGATTTATATAATTGGATAATAGAACTTGGATGTGCAAACCGGATTCCAGATTGAATAAAAGTTTGCACTGTAGCCCGGAAATTTGATACCCTACTATCAATATTCATTCTATTTAGTGAAGCAAAAATTGATTTTTTTGTATCCCAAGTAAAGCCGAGATGATTAAGTTTCTCACGAAGAATAATTTGATGGTTGTCTAGAGATATTGTGCAGTTCATTATTTGTAATTACAATTTCATCATTTTTTATAGTTTCGAGTAGCTTCTCAGTGTATATGTTAGTGCAGGTAGGTAGGTAGGGTGAGAGAATCAATCCTTGTCTCACTCCTTGCTTAAGATCAAATGAGACTGATTTGCAACCTAGGTATGAGACAGTTGCACTGCCGCTACGGTATAAAAAAGATATAGTGTTAACTATTTGGAGAGGTAGATTTTTATCAAAATAAAGTTTATTAAAAATAACATCCCAGTTGCAACTGTCAAAAGCCTTTTCAGCATCTAGTAAACATAAATAAACAGGCGAATTGTTGCGATTATAATGCTTAATTGTTTCGCTTACAACAAATTCAGCATGAAGGGTTGAGCTTTTATTATTAAAACCAATTGACGTTGATGTGTTTCTTTTATCTCCGAGCATATGAGTAAGATAAGGTATTCTAAGAGTTTAGTAAATATTGGAATAATGCTGATATCACGGTAATAGTTTGAATTGTAAGTGATTTTTTATAGGATTTAACTAGAGGTATGATAGTTGATGTTGACATTGATGTAGGGGTCCATCCGTTATTAATTGAAAAGTGAAATTACTTTCTTAACCATTGTGTTAGTGCTTCGCATTAGGCATGTTTTAAATGTTCTGTTCTATTGTAATGATCTTTGCAAGTAATATCAAATACAAAAAGATTTTTAACGAAAAGAATTTACGCGGACCAAAGACATTATTGATCTATAATGTATCTGCAAAGTTTTCGTCTAGCTAGCGTAATGTGATTTGCAATGGTCTCATCTCATTTTTTTAGTTTAGTAGCTGTTTGGGTTCAACTTGTTAAAGTTATTTTTAAAGGTTCAGTTTTAGTTAACGGACGGACTAATTTTGGACGAACATCGTGCGTACAATGAACGTTTAATATCATAAATGTTATACGGTTAAAATTTTTTTGGGTCAAAGAACTTAAGTTTGTTTATAAAAGAAATTTTGTGAATAGCTTTGACGCGATTTTGACAATGCGTGCATAAGTGTTTATTTACTTTACAAACATCTCAACAGCTCATGTTGCAAACATATCAATCGTCTGGTAATAGTTTACGTTTATAATTCTTATGTTTTTTTTAATATGTTATTTTCCTGGAAAGAGTTTTAATTTTTCCACTAAAGTATCGTGCAAGGCGGATAAGTATGTTCAGAAGCACGTCTTATTAATTTTAAAGATCATTTTACTCATGTCAGGCCTTTATTATTTAACATGAATATTCCTAATATTTACAAAGCAAATATATTTAACGTTCTTTGTTTTATGTTTAAATGTAAAATTAATGTATGTCCTGTTTCTTTTCATAATTTATATTCAATAAATATATATATATATATATATATATATATATATATATATATATATATATATATATATATATATATATATATATATATATATATATATATATATATATATAAATTAAGAAATAATAAACATATCCAACAACCGATTTTTCAGTGGAGTCTTTTTATGGAACAAGATTGTTTTAAAACATTTCAATTTTTCACATAACTGGAATTATTTTTCTTTTAAAAGAAAACTAAAGTAACTTTTTCAATTCATAACATATTTTTATATTTTTACAATTATTACCTATTCCACAAAATAATTAAGGAATTGTAATCTGAACGACAATATTTTTTAGATTATATATTGTATATTTCCATTACAAAATGCTGATGAAATTTCTAACTTTTCAAGCTTTTTTTGTTTTTTTTGTATGTTTGTTTTTGCATAATATTAAATATTGACAAATATTATATATATATTCACAAATATTATAAAATATTGTTAAAACTTGCTTAACATCTAAAGAGTATTATAATATATAAACGCATTTAAAAATTGTTTTAAATATTTGTAAATTTATTTATTTATTTTAATTCGTGATATAGATTGTAAAGGGGTTCATGATAAGATCGTTTTATCTTCTGGAAATCCTACCAGTAATATATTCAATATAAATTTACCTTGTACATATTATTCTAGAAAAGATTAAAAAGAAAAAAGAAAATGTACATTGTGTGCAAGAGCTAAATTTCTGATCATTTGATATCAGAAATTTTTCGATTTATCGCTTCATGATGTTTAACTGTAGGTTTTTTTATCTTTTCTCTTTTGCTTTTCTTTCCAAGAACTCTCATTGTTTTGCTCTCTAAGAACTCCCATTGCTTTGCTTTCCAAGGACTCCCATTGTTTTGCTTTCTAAGGAACTTTAATTTTTTGCTCTCCAAGAACATCCATTGCTTTGCTCTCGTTGGACTTCAGTTGTTTTGCTATCTAAGGACTCCCATTGTTTTTAGGTGGCTATTTAAAGATTAAAAAAATGTGTTTGTGATCAATAGAGTCATGAACGCATTAGTTGAACTTTCTAAATGTTTTAATAAAAGTAAGCCCTGCGGAAAAAGAGTTCTTTTAAACTATAATTAACGGATTTTTTAATTTTTTTTTATTCGCTGACTTTTATGAACTGGCTACTGTTAATTTTCAAGTAAATACAAAGTACTATGAAGCGTTAGACAAAATTGAAATTGAAGAATCTAGTAGTATATTGACAATATCAAGTAAACAATAAAGCTCCATTAGTGGCAGAACATTCAAAGTACAACGGTATCAAAAAACATTGATACTAATTGATTTAGCATTTCATGTTAGCTCTATTGAGCTTGAAGACTTCTTTTTTTTTTCTTCTTCTTTTTTAGACTGATTCATTGTCTATTAATAATTTACATTGAGCTTTAAATAAAATTTTCTACCAAAGGAAATAAATGTTGGGATTTTGAAAAACGCATGACTCGTGCAATTCTTATCTACGTAGAACTTTAATTTTTTACATTAGACTTTGAGAAAGATTTTAAATTCAATTTAAAATAACATTAAAAGTTTATAATAGCTAAAGTTTTCTTTTTTTTTTTTTTTTTTTGTCGTGTTTTCTTTTTTTATTTTGTTTCGTGTTTTCATCTTTATTTTGTGTCGTGTTTTCTACTTTATTTTGTGTCGTCTTTTCTTTATTTTGTTTCGTGTTTTCTTCTTTATTTGTTTCGTGTTTTCTTTATTTTGTTTCGCGTTTTCTACTTTATTTTGTGTCGTGTTTTCTACTTTATTTTGTGTCGTGTTTTCTTTATTTTGTGTCGTGATTTCAGGGCCGGTCTAAGGCCGATTTGACCGATTGCTCCAAATAGGGCCCCGCGCTTGGTAGGCGCCCCGCAATTTATAGCATATCATTATAAATGGCAGTAATTTTTTTTTTATAAATTTCTATCAATCTTAATATAATTCGTACAGTTAACGTTGAATGTTTAATGCGCATGGTAACGTCTATTGTTATTTTTAGTTTATCTTAGTTATTGCGGTATATGGTATAAAATATATTAGTTTCCAATCTACTTTCAAAAGTTCCAGAAGTACTTATTTCCGAAAATTCACGAGGCAAGCAATGATTGAAGCAATGGCGGCAGCTTTTATATTGTTAAAGATTAAGCTGTATTTACTTTTGAAATGTTTGTAATATATTTTTTGTTTGTTTATGCTATAATTATTTTTCATTTTGTTTACTATTAGTTTTATTTACTTTTGTTTAACGCAAACTTTTCTCGCTTTTCAGTAAATATTTTATTTAAGACAATATAAATTTTATTGGATAATTTTAAGAGTACTTTTTTTCAAGTTTAATAAATAATCTTAATATTAAATGTTTGTTTATTTATATTAAGATATTTGCAGTAATCAATTGCTTACATTTGTTAATTTTAATTTTAATTTTGTAAGGGGGATTTTTTATTTATTTTAGTTTAATTAAACTATTTTATTTTATTGTGCAATTTAGTAGTAAAAAAAGAGATAAGTTTTTAGTTTTGAAGAACACAAGCCCAAATATGAGTAAAAGACAAAGGAACGTCGGTAGAAAATATCTAAGTGGTAACATGAAGAGAGCCTTAGCTAAGGTAAAGAAAACTGAAGCAGAAAAAGAAAAAGGTGCGTTAGATAAACATTTGAGTAAATCAGTAGATCTGTTTTAAACTGAAAAATTAGACAAACAAGTCGAGTCAGACGACAGTGAAACAAATATTTCTAAAGAAATTACATCAGAAGCTAGTAGTAGTTTTCTTTCTGGATGTAATGCTCAACAAAATACATCTGAATTATGTATAAATATATCTGTTAACACACACAAGGATAATGAGGATATTTCAGAATCAAAAGAAGAAAATTCAAACCCAGCACTATGTGATATTTTAAAGATAAAAGATGACCCTGCTACATGGCCAAATAAAATAAATCAAAATGTCAGAGATTATTTAGTGAACGAAGGACCCCCTAAGATCACTGTAGAAAATTTTCCGCAATATGAAAAAGGGTTACATTTTTCGAAATTTCACTGTAAAAGAAAATTAAAAAATGGGGAAGTTATAGAACGACCATGGCTAATATATTCTGAATCATTTGATAAAGTTTACTGTTACTATTGCAAACTTTTTGACACAAATTCTGATTCTGCACTTGCTACTTCTGGATTTGACAGCTGGTCAAATATTCATACAAGATTAGAGGATCATGAAAAATCAAAAAAACATTTGCAATGTACACTTAATTGCTATGAACTGCAGCAAAGGTTATCTACTGGATTAATTGTTGATACATTAAATGAAAAATTAATAAGACAGGAAACAAAACGCTGGAATCAAGTCTTTGAGCGACTTGTTGCTTCTGTACAGTTTTTGGCAGAAAAGAACTTGGCATTTTGTGGGTCTGAAGAACATTTTGGAAATCCACATAATGGCAATTTTCTAGGCGTCATTGAATTGCTAGGAAAATTTGATCCAGTTACGCAAGATCATATACAGAAAATTATTAACAAAGACATTCATGATCATTATTTAGGCAAGACCATACAAGATGAAATTATTGATACTATAGGCCAAGCTGTTCTACAGGAAATTATTGCTAGAATTAAGTCGGCAAAGTATTTTGCAGTGATTCTTGACTGCATTCCTGATATCAGCCATCAGGAACAGATGTCAATGGTGCTAAGATATGTTGCTGATGTCACACACTCAGATGTCCCAGCAGGAATTTATGAACATTTTGTAAAGTTTATTATAGTTGAGAGCAGCACTGGTGAAAATTTATTTAACACTCTTGTGAAAGAAATTGAAATGCTAGGACTAGATGTTGAAAACATCAGAGGACAAGGGTATGACAATGGAGCTAATATGAAAGGGCACAATTCTGGAGTGCAAGCACGACTTTTGGAAAGAAATTCACGAGCTTTCTATACTCCTTGAGTGTGCCATAATTATAATCTTGTTCTAGGAGATATGGCTAAAACGTGTTCAGATGCCATGACATTTTTTGGAACCCTGCAGCGTATTTACACCCTTTTTGCTTCATCTACAAAAAGATGGACTGTTTTTAAAAAACATGTGAAAGGCCTTTCTGTTAAACCATTATCAGAAACAAGATGGGAATGTAGAATGGAAAGTGTTAAAGCTGTACGATTTCAAGCCGCAGAAGTGTGTGATGCTTTAGAAGAACTAGCAAAAAGCACAAATGATGCTCAAGGGAAAAGTAAGGCTGAATCATTAGTAAGCCAAATGACAAATTATAGGTTTCTGGTTGCACTATGTTTTTGGCACTCTTTATTGTTTCAAGTAAATTTTACTAGCAAGGAACTTCAAAGCAATACTATAGACATTGCCGCGGGGCTGACATCTTTTGAAAAATTGTTTGATTGGTTGAAGACATACCGAGAGACAGGCTTTGTAGCTGCATTGATTGATGCCAAAGAGCTTGCAAATGAGTTAGAAGTTGAACCCATATTTCAACAGAAGCGCTGTTACAAGAAAAAGAAAATGTTTCTTTATGAATCTTCTGACGAACCAATTTTAGACCCCAAGACAGAATTCCGGGTAAATTTTTTCAATCAAGTTGTAGACAAAGCATTGCAATCTCTTCAACCACGGTTTATGCAGCTGAAAGAACACTTTCAGCTGCATAAACCAAATAAACTTTTTGGATTTCTATATAATTTTCGGAATATGTCTAAAGAAGATCTCAGAAAACATTCAGCCGACCTAGAAATTGCTTTGACAGACATTACAAAAGATGTAGAAGGGTTCATGCTTCCGGTGAAAGAAGTTTTTCAAAACTAAAATTAATTAAAACCTACCTTAGGTCATTAATTAACTAAGAACGACTAAACAATTTGGCACTAATATCAATTGAATCTCCTATAAGTAGAGAAATTAGTTATGAAAAAATTCTAAAAGATTTCGAAAGCAAAAAAGCAAGAAAGATCCACTTTGACTTATAGATTATTTGTTTATTAAGACAATAACAAGAACTGTTTTGTTCAAATTCATTGTAATATTTTTATTATTGTTTATTGATTCGTTTGTGGAGTTATGTTTTTTTGTATAATAAATGTGTTTCAATAATTTTATTAATAGTAGTTATTGTAAAAAAAAAAATCAGGTGGGCCCCGCAAGCATTCGTTAAATTGGGCCCCGCAATTCGTAAGGCCGGCCCTGTGTGATTTCTTATTTATTTTCTGTCGCGACTTCTTATTTATTTTGTTTCGCCTTTTCTTTGTTAAAAATTTATTATGATATTGATCATTTTAAAATTTTCTTTATTTTAACACTAGTAGTATTTGTTTAAAACTTGTGTTTTTTTTTTTCTTTATTGAAAACTTATTTTTGCTTTAATTATTTACCTTAATTGTGTTCATTCATTTGTGTTCATTCATTTGTGTTGACTTAGTTGTTTACCTTAATTGTGTTCTTTCATTTGTGTTGACTTCGTTAAGATGTCTTAAAATAAAAATATTTTTCTCGAAATAATGTTACCAAAACAATACCACAACAAATACAGTTCTTCGTCAAACGCTTTTTTAATGAATACGATTACGAATCTTTTAAGAATCAACAGTTCTTACTTAATTAAAAATAAAGCAAAAACTATAAAATATTTAAAAACCAAAACAATTGAAAGTTAAATACTATAATAAAAGCTGAGCTGATGTTCTTGACATTTGTTTATCAATAAACTTTAAATAACTCTAAATCGTGAAATAGGTTGTAATTACTGCTCTTTTTTATTATTAACTTTTTATTTTTCCGATTTTATTAAAAATTCATTATTGATTTTTTATTATTTATACGTAAGTTAACTGATATACATTATATTTACATTCTGTAAAATGAATTTATGTTAATATAATGAATGCGTGAACTTCCTATTAAATGCTCATCGGCGGTGCTCTGTAATAAGACTGTAAGGATTTCTTGAGGCACCTTAAAAATAAAAAAAATAAAAAAATTTAACCTAACAAACAACATTGATACAGAAGAAGACGTGAACTTCTGTTAAATGCTCTCCCGCGGTGCTCCGTAATAAGACCGTCAGGAGTTCTGGGAGCGCCTAAATAACTACAAAATAAAAAAAAATTGTTTTTAATTTTTTATTTGCTCTCATATTTTTGCTTCTTATTTTATGCTATAATATTCATCAAATAAATTATGACATATCTCGCATTAAAAAAGCTTAGAAAACTAGTTCCCCAAATATACTTCAAAAAGACGATTGTCCCAGTGGGTACGGTGCGTTTTTAAACCTACTTTGAACGTTTTTATTAGGTTTAAACCAAATAAAACCGTATAAAAAACGTTGAAAAAACGCACAGTGCCCACTGGGGAGTGCGTTATTTCAACGTTTCCATATGTTTCAAAACTCTTTTTGAAACATTCGACAATATGTTTCAAAAAGAGTTTTAAAACATTTTTTTTTTTTTTTTTTTAATTTTATTTATTTATTTTTTTATTTGTCATTAAAAAAAAAAAAGAATACAATGCCGTGATATATAAATAAAATCTACATGACCGGGGCTAAAAGAAGACAATATTTGCCTTATCACTACACCCCGATATCACTACACCCCAAAACATATTGTCGAATCACTACACCAGGAACATATTGTCGAATGGAATTGTTTCAAAAGAAAACTAAAAGAAATAACTTTTTCAATTGATAACTTTTATATTTTTAAATATAAAAAATTATTCTATCCTCTTCATAATTAAAAATTCGTACTCTGAAAAACGATTTTATTTTAAAGTTATTTGAAAACTGCTGAAGTTTGTATTGTCAAGTTGAGATATTTTTCTCTTTGATTTTATAAAATGTCCGACTTATTCTAGATGACGATGTTTTATCATCGAGCGGTTTTTGATGACAAAACGTTGTGATTTTTACAAGCCTCCGCATCTTTTGTATTATATACCCAGCAAACATTTTATGGCGAATTTCAGTAAACCTACATAGACATTTTGAGCTGTCAAAAACGGCGAGCCGATGACTAGATGACGAGCAAAAATCCAATGAACCGCTCAAAATGCATACAAAAGGTCTACAACTATAGTATAACACTTTTACAAAATAAAATTTTTTTTCTATAAATTATGTACAAGTTTTCCATTATAAACAAATAAGGAATATTAAGAGTTGGGTAAGTAACTAATTTTTCAAATTAGATACCGATTAATGCCAAAATATTGATTAACACCAAACATATTAGATACCAATCAATACATTCTAGATACCAATTAAATAACCACCAAACATTGTACCAGACATAACAGTCACTCGATCTTTTGAATTATTTTTTACCACGACTTCAACATATTGATTTTTCTACAACAGAAAAAAAAATTAAAATGTGACATTTTTTGAAAATTATTGATTTTTTTAAAAAAAAAGTTTCGAAGAAGTGATAATAATAATAAAAAAAAAAGAAATTTAATAGCCGACAAATATTCTACATTTGAGTTTCAGTATAGTTTTTTCAATATTTTGAGTGATTTACTGAATGTTTGCGCATCGGTTACTAAGTGGACCATTAGTGGCAGTCACTAAAAGTGGCTAGCCACTAATAGCCCACTAATGGCCCGGCTGGCCAAGTATAGCGGAAACTACTGTTCCACTAAGTAACCGATGAGCAAAACTCCAATGAACCGCTTATAATGCTTATATAGGCCTAATGCAAATTCAATACAACATTATTTGATGTTCAACGCAAATTCAATAAAATAATGTTTGATATTTAATGCAAATTCAATACAACAATGTTTGCTGGATTCAATGCAAGTTTAATACAACAATGTTTGCTGGATTCAATGTTTGCTGGATTATGATAAGTAATAGTTAAGGAGTAATGTAATTTTTGAAGGATTATTGTATATGATAAAATTATTTTATATATATAAAATATACTTTATATATTTATTTTTAAATCTTTTATTGGCCGCCAGGTAAATTTGGCCTTCAAGAACCTAATTGCTAATTAAATTTATTTTAACTAATTTCTATTATATCTATGCCAATTGGTAATGTTTATAAACAATGTTTTATTTTTAACTGCTTATGTTTCATTTTTTTGAATTCAAATCTTATTACTACAGTATGTACTACTTGTAAATAATTAATTGTTGTACAAGCAGTACATAAAATTGTAAGTAAAAATATTTACCACTAAGTAAAGTTGACCAGTCACGTTTATTGTAAATACTTTTGAATTAGAAGAGATACCAGAAGTAAACTTCAATGTTCTAAAAGCAGTTTTATTAATAATAAAATGTGATAAACATACATTTCGTAAATGCATTTTTATGTTACTCATACCTGTAAATATATAAGTATGCTCGTAAATTCGCTGCATGATAAAATATTGCAAGATATACAAACATTTTTGTTTAAAAAAAATGAAATTATGTTAAATTACAGTCTGAAATAGTGTGTTGCAAAAAATCTTTAAATATCAAAATGTTATTTCTCTAACTTGATTCAAAGTGCACACACTTTCATTTGTATCAAAGTAAATACACTTTAGTCTGAATCAAAGTAAACACCCTAAAACCTGTACTAAAGAACATTTACTGTAATCTATAGTAAAAACTTCAAGACTTACGAGCCTTTGGTGCAGTTAGCATCAATACAAATCATTGCTATTACTGAGGCATTTGGTCTTAAGCTGGATAACTTTAGTGATCTGGTGATGTGAACTGTAGAATAAAATTGATAAAGAGCAGTAACAGGTGCTGAGTATCTTCCTTTTTGCAAATCTAGCGAACTCCCTTTTATAAATGATCCCATGTGATTTACCTTGATAATATTTTTATTATAAAATGATTTTCTGCTTGTACAAAACAAAAAAAAATTGTATTGTTGAAAATACTTACGGAAAAATTATTCAATGTACGAGCAGATCTTTTTGCTATAGATACACTATCAACAAGTTCGACAATAAATGCTGATAAAATACTTTTTACAGGTGCAATGGAGTGAAGTGAAGTGGAATAATCCTGCAAAAAGTATAAAATAGTAAATTGTTTTTTTATCTAAAACATAAAAAAACAATTTACTAAACAATTTATAAAATGTTATATATTCAACAGATATAATTAAAATTTTCATATTTATAAAAATCTAACAAATTATAATTTTTACAAAAACTAAGAAAACTTTAACTATAAGAACACACCTGATCTGGTTCTATCTCTTGAATTTCATGCTTTGCTATAAAATAGTTTGAATTTAATTTAATATTATACTTAGTAATTGATTATTATTTTGTTATATATTCAATATTTGAAAAACTATAAATATAATTAAATATAAAAAAAAACAATGCAACCAACAGTTTAGCTATAAATATCACTGATGACTTCAAATTGAAATTGCTATACAGTTCTGTTCTTACAGTTTTGCTTTTCATTTAAAGGTAAATTTAAAAAACACTTTGAGTAATGCAAAAACTATATATATATATATATATATATATATATATATATATATATATATATATATATATATATATATATATATATATATATATATGCCTTTGCAGGAAAAACGACGATTGCTGCACTTGCCTCCACACCCGAGTGAGTTAGTTTACAAGGGCGAAATAAACCTCGTTTACATAAGCGATTTTACGGGAGTGTGGAGGTGTAACACCCACCCCACCCCTTCACCCCACCCCCACCCCCCAAAAAAGATGATTTTTAAGTTTTAGTCGGTTTTTTAAGGAATATAGTAGTTTAGTTGGCTACTCGGGTGTTTGACACATTTTAGTTGAGTGAATTTTAGTTTTAATGACTTTTTTTTTTAGGAATCAGTCGTTACTTTTTAAGGATTAACCTCCCTACCCCTCATTTTATTTGTAGAATCGCGGCTGCTTGTATATATATCGTAAATATTCAATAATTTTAAAACTAATAAAGAATTTAAAAAATAATATTTTTTTATTTACGATATATAATTATTATTTTATTTAAACTTTTCATAAAAAGATTTTCAGAAGATTTTTAAGAAAAATTGATAAAGAAAAAAATTTAAAAAAATTGTCTGTTTATATGTATTCACAAAAATATACTGCTTTATTATATAATAAAAATATTTGTAAAATATTTTTAAAATAAATTTATTTACCTGTAACAATAGATTCGAAGTTGTTAGAATGTCCATCAAATAGTTGAGGGTTTATCTCTCTTTGTGGTGCAAAAGAATCCTCTTTTTTTTCCTAATTAAATGAATATTAGAGCTTTTTTATACAGACCCAAGTTCAATATTAATTTATAGACATTCATTATAATACAATATATATTATAAATATACAGTACATTTATTTATATTTTAGGGTTCTTTTGTCATAGTGAATAAAACTTACCTGGTGAAAACAACCTAGGAAGTGAAAAACTCTAATTCAAAATCTTCAATTTAATTGTGAATAAGAAGGGTAGAAAGAGTTCAAAAATGTTTCTATTGAAAGTATCGTCAAAAAAAAAAAAAAAAAAAACTCTCAAAATAATTTAGTGCCAGAAAAACATCTAGTTGTAAAAAAAACTCTTCCATAATTTTATATTAAAAGATAAAAATGCATTATAAAAATCTGTCCAAACAACATAAGTGTCTAAACATAATGAAATTAATATTTTTTTCAAAAAAAAAATTATTAGGGAGGGGTTGATGAAAACCCTTAAACATTTGACAGGTTCCTAACATTAAAAATAAATTCTACAAAAGGGTTTCAACCTAGATTTCAAAACAAGCAAAATGTTATAAAAAATTTCAAAAAAAAATTGTTTATTTTGTACATAAGTATTTTAATAATATTTATAATAAAATTTATAAAATTTTTGACTTTTTTTTGAATTTTTTTTTGCATCAAAATAATCAACTTTTAATAATTCATACAAAAATTTCTATTATAAATAAATAAATAGTTTTTATTTATCTTTTTTGTATTTCATTTATAATGATTAATTATTTAATGAAACAAATACATTTCAAATTTTTCTTCATATCATGTTAAAACAAATAAAGAAATTAAATATATCACAAACTTCCAGTCATAAAAAAAAAAATTAATAATATACGACTCTTCTCCTTCCTTTAAAGGAGACTATTTTCAATTTATAGCTAGTTTTTCGAGGAATATAGTCGGCTAGTCGGGTGTTTGACACATCTGAGTCGGGTGATTTTTAGTTTTAAGGAAGTTTTTTTTTAAAAAAAAGTGGCTGGTACTTTTTAAAGACTCACGCCTCCACCCCCACCTCACATCAATTTATTCCTAGAATTGCCTCTACTTCTAAGAATATTTCTACAACATTTGTTTTTCTCTCATTCATCTATCAGCTATTGACGTTGGTTGAGATCTCAAGTAAATTACGTTTCATCCAAAGATCAGCCTATTGGTTAAGAACTTTTCAAAAGTAGATTTTTAAAAGTTATTTTAAAAAGTTAAATATATATATATATATAAAAAATAAAAAATTAAAAATTAAAACAAAATAAAAAACAGTTTATCAGAAGCCTTTTAATTCTAAGCCATTAACTTTATGGTTCTAAAGGTTTCCTAAATGTGATTTTCGTAATTTCATAATAGCAAACATTTTTTAACTGTAAATAAAAACAAAATTAAATGCCTTAACAAAGAAATTTCAAATGTGTAATCTAAAGTAAAAGTTAAAAATTTTGAGTAATATTTAAAGAAAAAAAAGTTTTTTACTTTTTCAAATAAGTTTCAAAAATCTTTGTATATATTTTGATTCGCGGGCGTTTTAATGTTTAATGTTTATCTAAAGATAATTATTTGAAAACTTAAGCCATCTGTTAAAACTATTTAGACTGCAAACATTTCAACCATTCATTAAGAAACTCATCCATTGTAAAATAAATTTAAAAAATTTGTTAATCATGCTAGTTATAATATAACTTAAAAAGTGGTCTCGTCCTACGCCCCCCCCCCCCCTTCCCTCGTGACGGCCCTGAGTCTCGTTTTACGAGAAATGTTAACGATGAAGCCAGAATTCAAAATTTATAATTGGTAAATTCTAAAATGTTTCAAGATGATTAAAGGTTTTGTCGCGGTTGGTGTCTGGTTAGGAATTTTAGAAGCGGGGCTATTTTAAAGCATAAGGCCTTCTTCCATGTCATTAATCAAAGATTTTCTTAATTTCAGAGTTTTTTTGAAGATAATGTTTTTTTTTTTAATCGGGGCCCAAAAAACTGTGGTACCTGTTGTTAAAGCCCCCCCTAGCCCCTCCTTAATCCAGCACTGGTTGCGCGCGTATGCATGTGTGTGTGTGTGTGTATATATATATATATAAAATTTATCTCACTTGTTCCATTTTATACTCTTTTATGATGTCACAGTTTCTTGGTTTCTTGTTCACTTCATTTCTGTTTACAAACGCATCCTTTTGTTCTTTCAAACTTGACCAAACACTTTTTATTTCATTTATTTGGCTGAGCGGTAATGATGCATTTATTGGCTGTAAAAGATAAAATATTTTTCGGTTAGTAAATTAGTTAGATTAGTAAGTTAGTAGATATTTCGATTAGTAAGTTAGTAGATTAGTTAGATAAAAAAAAAATTGAAAAAATAAAATCAAATAACTTCAGAGTTACTCAAGCACAAATGAATCTCAAATTTAAAAGTTTTTTTTGATAAGAAACCTGAATGAACTTAATGACTTTGCCATACATTTGAATCCTTTTTGATAAATATTTCAAATATTTGGTCTTTAATATATTCAGTATATTTATTAAAGTTTTGAGGCGGTAATATTTGTTACTAATATTTTTTCTTAGATTATAGTTTTTATTTCTATTTATTTCAAACTTGTTATCAAAGTTTTCAGGAGAGAGATTATTGTTGAATAGACATATAAAAGACATAAAAATTAAAAGTTGATAGATATTTATTTCAAAAATATCCAACATTTTTATTTCTTTCATTATAGGTTTAACGTGTTCACGTATATTTTCAGAGTAAATGACACTGCATGCATATTTTCGTAAGCTATAAATTTTTTTAAGTTTTAATAGTTGCCTACTTGCCCATGATATATTTGAATAGCTGATGAATCTATGCAAATTTATCATGGGTAAAATTAGTCCAAAATATATTAGTTTGAGACTTTGTTGTCACGTGACCGGGCAAGGAGACTTACTAAGCAATTTCTGCCTCCAATTTTATAAAATTTTAAAAAACTACTAAACCCTAACTAAAGAACATAAAATAAAAACCCATTGCAAAACTATATTCCTAAAAAAAATTACACCCGAAGAGCACCATCTATTGTGAATAATCGAAAACTGTTTTTTTAAAAGCGCTAAAACTCTTGCGAATAAAGCAGCCTCAATAATATTTAAAAAAAGAATCGGCGTTTTAAAATGCATAAACGTAAATAGAGTTTCGTTTTTATTTAAGTTATTTTGTCGTTATAATAAAAACCATCTCGCCCCGTTTTTCCTTACATATAAATATATAATCTTGCATGATAGTCGAAAAGTTTCTTGTAAAACTGTAGTTTTAAAGGGAACGCTAATAAACCAGACCAGAAAAAGTTTAAAAACTTGAGTAAATTTTTTTTATTAGATTAATAGATTGCTTGCCCAAACCAAACCCTCAGTCAATATAGCGGTACTTCCTTGTAGCAGCAGATTATAAGATAACCGATGTAGGAGCACTCCCGTGTAGCAGCAGGTTATAAGATAGTCGATGTAGAAACACTTTGCGCATATTTTAAAAATATGTTTGTAAAAAACACAGTATAAATTAAAAAAAGCTTTCTAGTCATTATTATGGTGGTTTTTTAAAAAACGATAAAACTTAATGTACTTCCGCATTATTTTAATTTTTTTAACTTTTGGACGACATTAATATGTAACTCTTTTTTTTATTTTATTCAGGTGCCCCAAGAAGTCCTTACGGTCTTACCACAGAGCACCGCGGTTGAGCAATTAATTACAAGTTCACGCTTCCTTTCTAACCGATGTCGCAAGACTTGCCCAGAGGTGGGCTTGAACCACGGGTTATTTGTTTCTGAGGCAAGTGCGCTACCACTGCCCCACGGCTGCTTATTTAATTGTTGAAGTCGCTTAAATCTTGTTGAAAAAGACTATTTTTTATAAGTGAGCAGCCATGGCGCAGTGGTAGCGCACTTGCCTTAGAAACAAAGGAGCCGTGGTCACGATCCCCTTCGTCACGATCCCCCTGGTGAGATTCGCCAATTTTGATATTACAAGTGAAAGAGGTTAATTTGGCATACCATCATACTAAGAAAAAGTATGTTGTTTATTATTACTAAGTTAAAAACTTTTAACTATTGATTGATGCCGCCTAATTTGATTGGTTTTTGAAATTTTAAATATTATTTGCTGTTTATTGTTATTAATTGAAATTACCGTGTCACTCTTGCTCCAAGTGACAAGAAGATTAAAGAAGATAAAATTGTGTGGATGATTTTTAAAAGTTTTAATGCAAAACACAATCAGTTTCTTCAAAACTCTGGAACTGTCTGTTAGTCTCCTGAAATCGACTCAACTGGTGTGAAAAGGACAGTTACTAATTAATTAATTACATATCGTAAATTAAGTTTTGAATAGAAAACCATTAAATCTAGTAGGCAAGCTAAGCTTCAAACGACAAAAATATTTATAAAACAAAGCTTAAATGTAAGTCTCAGTCTAAATAAATATTTTTAAATCTAACTGTAAAGTTTATTGTGCTATCTGATATTTAGATTAAAATGACTATCAACAAAATTAACATTTATATTTGCATTTGAATATGCTGTCAAAAATATTAAAATCTACCCATCATAATAATGAAAGATCCATTGATTGGTTACAAAGATTTTTAAAAAAACATCCATAAAAAAATAGTCTTAATACAAATTTTGGGTTGAATTAAGATTGTTGTAACCCGCGTTAGCAGGAAGCAACAAGCTTTGCTCGACGTACTGCATTCATTCAACGCAGTCGGTGAGTTTTTCAAAAAATTGTAAAAAGAAATATATAAAAAGAAGATATATTTAATATATATGAAATTGGTTTAACAGCGAAACAAAAAAAAATCAATAAAATTTATAACATAAAAATAGTTTAACGTTTAACGTAACGAGTTTACATTTAACGTATCGAGATTACATTTAATGTATCGAATACATTTAATCTGATGAGTCAGAAACTTTCCAATAAAATATTTTTAAATGACAACAAAAAATTTCAAGGCCAAGACATTTTGATGAATTAAAATCATGTTAATTATCATTAAAAGAGCACATTAAAATTAAATTTAGGACCATTGAGAACTAAATGATTGATGCAATGTCAAACAGGTTTTTGTGTTTTTAGTTTTACGATTTTACTTCTTTTAGAATAAGAGAGATTTATTTTATTTTTCAACTTTATAAGAGTGATTATAGATTTATTTTATTTTTCAACTTTATAAGAGTGATTATAGAATCATTTTATTTTTCAACTTTATAAGAGAGATTATAGATTCATTTTATTTTTCAACTTTATAAGAGTGATTATAGATTCATTTTATTTTTCAACTTTATAAGAGAGATTATAGATTCATTTTATTTTTCAACTTTATAAGAGAGATTATAGATTCCTTATATTTTTCAACTTTATTGCAAATACTAAAAATGAAATTAAAAAAAAGCTGTTTAATTGTTAAAGTATTTAGTAATAAATGTATGAAATATTTTAACGAGTAAGTTATAAAATAATTAAATGAAGCGTAGCTAAAAAGGTCATAACTAAAACTAGTGTAAAGTTATAACGCAACGTAAAATTCTGTTTTTATTCAATTCTAGTTATAAAATTTTATAATAATTATTACTTTTCTTATAACTTTTTATGTATATTATATATGTTATATATATATATATATATATATATATATATATATATATATATATATATATATATATATATATATATATACATAACACATTTTAAATATTATATCTGTAATATAATACTTAAAATATGTAATATATACATATATATAAAAAACAAAATTATTAAAAAATATTTAGTTTTAAATATATCAAAAAAATAATTTTTTTACAATTTTTTTTTAAAACTCAATGTTTTTCATAAATATATATTTTGTCGAATTTTTAAATCAGTATTACTTACGGTTCTAAAAACATGTTTGTTTCTTTTAAGTAAATTTCCATTAATGAATTTTAATGATATTACAATAAAGAGAACATACAGAAAATCCATTGCAGACGAGTATGATTGCAGACGTAATTTTAGTTCAGTTGTGTCTTGAACCTTAGTTCAGTTGTATCTTGAATGAAAGCTATAAAATATCTAACATAAAACATGGCTTTAACCACCCATGCTGTCACAAAACTTCTCCACCCTGCTGGCTCAACACCCTGCTAAGTTATAAATCTGTGACGATATAATTTTTTAATCTGAGAGAATAAAATCAGTTTTTCGTTGATCATACGGAAGTTATTAATCTTATTTAATGACTACAGTAAACAATTTTATATATATATATATATATATATATATATATATATATATATATATATATATATATATATATATATATATATATATATTTGAATAATTTTAAATGCATTTTACAAAATAGAGTGCTCAATGTTCTCAAAAGAATAGAGTAATAATAAATTAGAAAGATAGTAGAAAATTAAGACTCATCAGAAATATGACGAGTCTTAATTTATAAACATCAAATATATATATGTATATATATATATATATATATATATATTATATATATATATATATATATATATATATATATATATATATATATATATATATATATATATATATATATATATATATATATATATATATATATATATATATATGTATATAAATGCATGTACATAGAAGGTGATTTTCAAGTTATAGTCGGTTTTTTATGAAGTTAGTCGGCTAATTGGCTATTTGACACAATTCAGTCGGTTAAATTTTTGTTTTGAGGACTTTATTTTTTTTAGAATCTAATTGGTACTTTTTCACCCCTCTCCCCACTCATTTTATTCGTAGAATCGCCTCTATATATATATATATATATATATATATATATATATATATATATATATATATATATATATATATATATATATATATATATATATATATATATATGTATGTATGTATGTATGTATGTATGTATGTATGTATGTATGTATGTATGTATGTATGTATGTATGTATGTATGCATGTATGTATGTATGTTTGTATGTATGTATGTATGTATGTATGTATGTATGTATGTATGTATGTATGTATGTATGTATGGATGCATGTATGTATGTATGTATGTATGTATGTATGTATGTGTATATGTATGTGTATGTGTATTTGTATGTATGTATGTATATATATATATATATATATATATATATATATATATATATAGGATGTTTATAAATTAAGACTCGTCATATTTCTGATGAGTCAATTGGTTTTCTACTATCTTTCTAATTTAATATTACTCTGTTCTTTTAAGAACATTATATATATATATATATATATATATATATATATATATATATATATATATATATATATATATATATATATATATATATATATATATATATATATATATATAAATCATAGGAAATGTTTTTTATTTGTTAAACGCAAGAAATCTGTCGGAAATGTTTGGACAAATTAAATAACAGTATTATATTTTGCAAAACCAGCGTGAAATTTTTTCTTATTTACTTTAGAAAAATAAAATGGAGGAAAATTTTTTATAAGCTATTTTTGTTATTTGATGATGCAGAGCTAGTGTTTCGGGTCAAGTATTTATATCTCGAACAGGAGATCTGGAAATTAAACTCCGGCACGTCTATTGTAGTAACGCATTTACCGTGCTTCTTCTTCGCTATGTTTTGTTTAAAATAACTTCCAATCCATGAATAAAATATTTTGCTGTAAATTAAAATAATGCTATAAACGTAGTATATATGTAGAGCAAAAAAGTTATGTTTATAAAGAAAACGTTAAATATGTTTAGAAAAAAAGTTATTAATGTGAAGAATAAAATGTCATTTATGTGAAGAATAAAAAGTTATTACAAAAATGAGAATGTAGTGACTTCTATAGAAATTATTAGTTACTTATAGAAATTCTATAAGAATTATAAAAAGACTACAGGTAAAACGTGATTGGCAAGACATTTTGTAATATGTATTACAAAATGTCTTGCCAATCACGACAAATAGATTTGTTTTTTATAATTGTTTTTCATAATATCAGATAAATGCATAATGGCTTAGATAAAAATAATTGTCTAAAAAAAGTTCATTGTTGTCGTTATTACCATTTTAATTTTTTCAAAACATTAGCATAACTAATTTGCCAACTTAAAACTTACATTTACTTTTATAAGTTATAAAATTTTTATCCAAAGTTTTTTTTTTTCTTCTTTTTTACCTACGTAATCCGTTAAACCCCGTAATTCATTAGATTTTTTTTTTTTTTTTTTTTCTTTCTGAAAAAGTAATCAACTATAACTGTCTTTAATCGCCTTCGAAAAAATTTTTTGCTAATAATCGCCTTCGATAAAAGTTTTTGCTAATAATCGCCTTCGATAAAAGTTTTTTGCTAATAATCGCCTTCGATAAATAATTCTTAACGTAAATTTGTTTTTGCTAAAACCATCAGTTTGTTCTTGAATTTTAACAATTGTATGTTTTGTTTTTGTATACAATATTAACAATTGTATGTTTTGTTTTGTTCTGAATTGGTTATTACATTCAAAGCAATTCTCATCAAATTCTATAATGAGTAAAAATTTATAAAATAAGATTTGAAAAGATTTTTTACCAAAACAACAACAAAAAAACTTTTAAGCTTTTGAAAACTAATATGCCCATTTCATTGGCCCATTTTGCTCTAAACTAAAAGTTCATTTTGCTCAAAAATTTTATTCTATCAACATTCTGATAAACTCAGATTTTTCGATTGAAAGAGTTTGTTTAAAAAATGTTTTACATTAAGTTATAACTTTTTTTTTCGTACAAAAAAACGTTTCAGTGGTTTGAGTTCTTAAAAAATATTTACGAAAGTCTATTGCACGCACTAAACATCTGTTGACGCTCGAGTACTCACCAGTATGCTTTTTGTTGGTTATTGTTTGTTAACATAAGAAAACAATCTCGTGGCGATTTTCTTCATAATACTAGCGATTGTTTCATCACCAACTCCTTATTGACTCTTCTCAACTCTACATTAGAATTGATTTTACTCAAAGGATCTTAATTGCCTTTTTAAATGTCGTTGTTAGGCCTGCTGTTGGTTGTACAGCTAAAAATCGCCTTCATTGTTCGTTGCTATAAGACTTTAAACTATCTTGTTGAACCAAATTGCCTGATCTTCACTAAGTAAATTTTATCTATTTTTGTAGCTCTGAATTTATTGGATTGAGCTAAGATACTTAACGATAAGTCAGCTGATGAATGTTTTGAATTATTCAAATGAGTTTACAGCTCTCTTTTTGAATAATTCATTTCGAACGAGTATATGCTTGCCTCGTAAATGCATTTTGTTTCAATTTAATGCTGGAATTAAAAATGTGTGTAAAAAGATTTTTTCATAAAACCATAAAACTTTTGTTTTCAAACTTTACACAGTTTCTGTTTGTCCTCTGCTTGAAAATCCGACTTAGCAAGACTAATTTACAAACCTGTTAAACTTGAGTTATAAATTAGTCTTGTTAAGTTGGATTTAACTAGTTTATCTAAACGCAGAACAAGAGATGGCTTAACCAAAATTTTTGAATTTTCAAAGAACTTTAGATTAAAGACCGTAAATTCTTAGCTCATTAACAACTCCGGTTAGTGATCTGCGTGGGGTGTTGAACAACAAGTCCACAGAGAGATTACGAGGATATAAGCAAGACATAAACTTCTATTCAACCGTGTAGTACCTAGTTCGCTTTCGGTCTACCCTAACTGGATCTTATAAGGTTATTTTTTACTTCTACTTCTAGATCTTAACTTTTAAATAAAACATAAATTGTGAATTTATTTGATACGTATAGTTTAAAAAGACGTCTATAAAACATAAATTACACATTTAATTACTCATAAATATATAGTTTATGATTTATTTAAATATTAGGTTAGGACAAGAACCTATTTAAAGAGACAATTTAGACATCAATCAGAGTTGTATTTTAATCATCTTATATCCTATAGATATTTTTTCAACATCTTTTATGCATCAAAAACATCGATGCAACAATTTTTATGCATTTAATTATTGTCAAAAGTACCCGCAGAATTTTTTTGATGTTTCATATAGAACATTTTAAGGCATTGTTCACACTCCAAACCTATGTTTGTATATGTAATGTCAAAATGTTATGTAAACAATTTCGATAATTTAAAATGTGAGGACAATCATTTTTTTAAATATATTTTATTTACATCTTAAACTAAAGTTAAACTTTTCTAAAGGTTTTAAATTACATCTGCTTTTGATGTTCTTAATGATCAAGTTTCTACCCTCCCCAAAATGAGGGTTGTAAAAATTTGCATAGTCATAACTTTCAAACACTAAAAATTTTTCAAATGAAATCTAAAACCTGTTGATGAGTTTAAATTCAGTTCAAGATAACATAAAAAAAATTTTATTTACTCACTTCTCTCACATTGAGGCTAGGTGCCGCAAACATTTTTGATTATTTTTGTTTCCAGGCATAAGTTACTGCAGTTTTTTACATAAAACTTTTATTTGAAATAAGCATATACAAACTTAAGTTTGGAATGTGTACTATGTCAATAAAAAATTTCATCTGAAATATCAAAAAATCCTTTGGCTGGGTCTGACAAGTTCAGACGTAAGTGAGTTTAAGAAGTACCAAGAATATTAGAGTGACAAACTGAAGATGTCGAGTTAGAAAAATAGCGCATAGATAGCCGACTAATATTACACTGGATGTTAGAATGTGCAATCATATATAAATTGGTTACAATTTCAAAATTACAAAATTGGTTAAAATTCGCCACGGTTATAGTTACGAAAACATTAACTTTAAGTTTGCTTTCTGAATCTTGGTTCGGTTATTTATTTCTTCGAAAACTTGACGTTATTTTAAATTTGGTTGTTAATTTGGTTGTTAATTTGGTTGTTAATTTCAAAGTGGAAGCTAATTCTATAGATTCTAGTAATGAGTCCGAGATTCTTTTACCTTTTGAATTTTTGATTCTTTTACCTTTTGAAATGCGAGAGGCAATTGTTAAAAGTTAAACTTTCATGTATCGTAAGTTTTTTGCTGTGAAAACTCTTTTGCGTCATCAATACATTAAAAAACTTTGTTCCAGATAGTTATTGTCCAAAAAAATTCGCCAATTTAATCCACAATTTTACTGGGGCAAATTTAATTATAACAATGGCAATGTAGCTCGATCTTTTTTTTTCAAATATGTTGTCCTGCATAGTTTAGTTAGTTGATTAAAAGAGTTGTTAAAAAGAATTAGAGAATGATTTTTTATTAAACAGAAAAAAACGTGTTCAAACTTACTTTAATTTATTACTTATAAACCAGGATTATAAAAAATCAAATAAAAAAAAGTCTTTACGCTCTCCACGAAAGTAGAAACTTTTCACTATACTCGGAAGTAGACACTTTTCACTCTACATGGAAGTAGACACCTTTCACTATACACAGAAGTAGACGTTTATTAATTTTCGGAAAATTTTTCCACCCACCCTGAGCTTATTTAAACCCTCTTCCCCTCCCCTCCCCTCCCCTCCTTCCCCTCCCTCCCCTCCCTCCCTCTTCATCTTCCTCTTCCTCTTCCCCTCCGTTTATTAAATTTTACTTTTTTATCAAATTGTTCTTTTAGATGTTGTTAACTGTTTCGGTTTGTTTGGTCTTTCCTAAAACAGAAATAAGAAATGTTACCAAATCTACTTAGATTTATTACTCATAAAACATTTTCATGTTTACCAAACCAAGACAAATAAACTAGATAAACAAAGAACTTGCAAAAAACATGATAGAAACTCAAGAAACAAAAATAATATAAAAATCAAAAAAATTTTTAACTATAAAATAGTATGATTAATATAATTTCTTTTTGGTGGGTAAGCATGATTACGGTAAGCTTGGTTACACAGAGAAATGAGTACTTTTAAATCTTGGTTTACTTAATAAATTTTTCTTTTTTTTTTTCAAAAACAATTTGCCTGTGGTGATCATTAAATTTAAAACACATGTTTTAATTTTCACTGTTTTGCTAATACAAACACACTTGAAAATCATGTTTAGTTAATTTTGCAATTGAAAAATTTTAATACCAATTTCGTCAACGATCTTTTTTAATATGCAAAACAGGTTAAAAATACGCAATGAAAAACCTTATAAATAAAGACCATTAACACAGGCGAACTCGAAAAATTTACTTCCCAGTGGGAACGGTACGTTTATTAAACGTTTTTTGGAAAACAGTAGAGCACAATTAAAGTACTAATTTTTGATCAAAATATGAAAATATATTTTTTAAGTTTATCTTATTCAAAATTTTATCCTTTTTTGTTTGATGTATGTATGAAACAGAATTTATTTTTTAAAATGTGATAAAATCTACATTTGCAATACTATTTACTTTAGCAACGCCGTAGCAACCACAAACATACCTTCGTTTATTATATGTTGAGCAGAACTTGCAAGCTAATTTGTCTTTTTGTTGTGTCAATCATGCTTTTATTTGTTTATTTATCAACTATTACTTATAAAGAAATTTAAATGTCGAGAATTTTGTTGATTCAAAGATTCATGTTGTTACTGTTGTATTATACCCTGTTGTTGATTAAAGATTTATTATTAATTAGTAATAAATTATGAGATCTATCATAAATAATAAATAAGAAAGAAAATGAACTTTAAAAAAACATACAAACAAAAAAAGAAAGCTATTTTTCCAATAGTTTTTCTTTTTACAGATATTCCAAATCCTGAACGACACAATTTATTTCCAATATTTGCATCAAAATGATTTATTTTGATGCAAATATTGGACTCTAATTAAATTTTATAAACCAAATATATCTAATCCTCTATCAATCAAAAATCTTATTACACTCATTTTTATGGGCTTAAAGAAAGATGAATTACTGTTGAAATGTTTGCATGGTCAAACACAAGGATCAAATGAAGCGCTAAATTTACTCATATGGTCCACGTAAGTAAAACAAATGAAACGTAAGAAAAAACTATTACGGTTAAGAAACAGAGAAAAAAAACTAAGAGCAATAAAAAAGGATTCAGTAAGAATCTTAAAGCAAAGGCTAAAGGTCGTAAGTTTCATATATGTATAAGACATATATGTTTCAGGAGAATTTTTACATGATTTTACTGTTTAAATGATTTTTTTTTTATTTTGTACTTTTTTTTTTCTGCAAGTTAAGTTTTTCATATTTTATCAAGATTTCAAAACATGATTTTTTCTGATTAAATAAAGCTTTTTTTTCTGAAATTTTGAGGACATATTCCTTACAACATTAGAATTCATTTGACAGATCGATTTTATTTAATTAATTGTAAAACTCATTATTTATAACTTTAAGCTGCTTGTAAATCGTACAAATTTTAACTTATTTTAAAAACAAGGTCATATCTTTACATATAAAAGGACTATTTATAAATAGAGTAAAATAATGTCATCAACAGATCTGCAAAGTTTTATTCATGGTTCTTAAGTCTAACTCATGACGTGTTTTGAAAATATACAAATTAGGTCTTTATTTACACTGTTTTTACGCCATTATAAATTTTCGGTAAAAGTCTTTCAAAAATTTTTTATGAAAAATTGTTTTATTTTTCTTAGTGAAGCATTTCTGCATATTTTTAAAACTATTTGAAAAATTTTTCATGAAAAGTGTCTTGTGCTCTACGACCATAATATATCTTCATTAAAACGACATGCAAGTTGCATATTTTCCGCCCTTCTTCTTTTTCTTTTTTGTTCATTTATTCTCATTTAAGAACTTTTCAATTAGGTTATAACATTTAGATAAAAATGCACATTGTTTTTTTGTTTTTGAATTTTTTCTATTTGTTTCTTTTGGTATTGTGGTTTATATTCTTCCGGCTAATTGCCATATAGAGGGCGCGAAAGGGCGCTACCAAATTCCGCGAAGACAAGTTCAGCTCAATAAAGATCACCTGCTTTGTCAGACCAAGAAAAAAGAAGTTTAAAGAAGAACAATTAAATGAATAAGAGTTAGAAAAGTTAGAAATAGTAGAGTTAGGCAGATAGAGAAAACAAATATTGAACAAGATGTTAGACAGATAGAGAAAGCGAACATTGAATAAGATGTTCGAATGTGTTATCAGACTAACATTGTATTCTACTTCAATTTATGCAATTAATAATATTCTGTATTTGCTACTTTTAATAACTATAATTTGTTTGACAAACATGTTTTATAATGCATTTTTGTTATTTAAAAGGACTTTATAGAAAAAATTGTAGTGATGGTTTTATTATCAGTACTTCCATGTATATTTTAACAGATCATTTTAATAGTTTGTTAAACTGGAATTTTTTTAAACTTTAACTTTTTATATATGATTAACTTTTATTTCATTTTTGATTTTTCATTTATATGTTTATATATAAAATATATTTTGTATGTAGGAAAAACGTTTGGTAAAAGCCAAGTTTTTGTCAACATTCAGAAAGTTTATTTTATTTTTTATGGGATTTTTTTTTAACAAATAATGAATTTGTTTCTACAAAAATATGCAAAATAAAAGAATAAAAATTTTAAACATTTATATCTTAAAATTAGATATTTATTTTTTAAAATCAAATAGTTTTTAATAAAAAGCAATATTTGACCGGGTTTAATTTCTTTTCAATTTAAAGTCACCCTCTTTTGTGACGGTAACAACATTTTTTACCGTCACAAAGATGTCATAAAAAAAATAATATTGTTTTCATGTTTTAATAAAGGACAAATCTCGAGAATATCTGGAGGATCTTCATCTTTATCTTCATCTTCATCTTTATACATATCTGTTTTAAAACTATGGTAATAGTTTTAAAACAGATATGTACTTAATACTGTTTTACCGTCGAAGAGACGCCATTAAACAAAAATTATATATTACCAGTTTCGATTGTGGAAGTTCTTCTTTCACCTCTATATAGATCTGTGTGGAAGTTCTTCTTTCACCTCTTTATAGATCTGTTTTTGTGTTTTGATATTTCTTAACACTTTTTGTTCAAATGAAGTTTAGTTACTATAGTTACTATAAAAGTCTTTATATAGTGACCAAAAAAATACTAATTCAAATGAAGTTTAGATACTATAAAAGTCTTTATATAGTGACCAATAAAATACTAATTAAATTGTTTATAAATATTTTTACAAACTTTTTTTTATTTTTAAAGTTAAAAGAAAATCTTTTACTTATTTATATAAACTTATTATTTACATTATCTCTAGCTTATAAAATAAGGTTTCTACAAAAACTTATTAATATTTAGTTATGAAAACTTTATATTTTTTTTTTTTTTGAGCCCCCAAATTTATTAATTAAAAAAATAAATCTAGATTAAAGTTCTTTTTTTTGTTTTTGTTTTTAGGGTGTTGATAATATTTATACTTATAAAGTATAATAAAAGTTAAAGAGTTTAAACAGGTTTAATGAAAGTCAATGAAACTTGACGATTCTATTATACTCAGTACCCGCATTATTTTGCAAAATTTAGTATATTCAAGCATTACTGCACTTTACGTGCAGCAATGCTCGCTTCTATTAAAATTCTATATATAAACTTTTGCTTAAATTATATATTGTAAACTTTCAAAAAGGTTTGTCGCTAGGATTATTGTGTTGTGCAAAGTTCTATTATGTAGATATGAACTCAGAATCAAATTAAGATTAAATATCAGTCAACTGCGTAATCGATAATAGGTCATCTATTAATTCCATTGAAATTCATTTGTAATAGAGAATGTAATCTTTTGGGAAAGTGTTTGTGCGAGTAGAATACGTTTATCTGGATTTATGAAAGCAAGATGAGTATAGAAAAAAATTTATATACAAACATATAAACAAACAAGCTTAAGTTATTATTTTGAGGTAAGAGGAGATCTAAGGTTTGAAGAAAAATTTTTTCAAAAATCAAATAGATGAGTTAAGCATATACATAATACGTAAGCTTAATATTAGTTTTTAGTGCATTAAAATAAAATTTATCAAAAAATACTCCTTTATTTTCAGAGTTTCTGTAGAATGACAACTGGTTTTATTTTTTCAACGGGTACTTTTAAAACTGGTATAAATTACTTTAAATCTAGAAAATGTCAAATAAACTCTTTAATATTATGAAATACCCAATCAAAAAATCTTGTATCAAATGCGTATTAGCTTCTATTGAGTTCGTATATGATACCTGATGTTCCAACTTGGTAGTTTTGTTTTCATTTTCTATTTAATACGTAACAAATCTCTAAAAAAGGAGTACTGTAAAATTATAATTATTATAGTATAATAAAATATGGTTAAAATAATACTTATAATATAATAAAAACTGTAGTTAAAGAAATTGTTTTTTTCGGAATCAATTCGTGTCTTCATTTAAAATTAAATCAGCACTTTTTAACCAAGACATTCTTTTTTTTTTAATAAATTTAAAAAAAAAGAATGTCTTGGTTAGCTGAAATACAATTGGTAACCAATGGGTTCGTTGCATAAGTTTTTCCATACGTTTCTAATTGTTTTTTATTGTGTTTCTAATTATTATTTACTTCTGTCTTTAATTGGTTTTAATTTAATGTTTTTAATTGTTTTTATTGAATTGGACTTCTTTATAATTGTTGATAAAAAGGTTTTCTTAATGAATAACTTTCTATATATTTATAATTCATATATTAAATTTTGTTAAGCGCAACGACATATAAATTATTTTTTGAACAGTATATAAGAATAAAGTGATATTATAATATAAAACTTTAGAAATGGATTTAATTAACGACTTATTTGATGATAAATGGGAATATAAAGGCCAAGCACCACAAAAAACAAGAGGAACAGGTGTATATTGTTACATTTTTTATTTTAACATTTTATCATAAAATGATATATATATATCATTTTATATATATATATATATATATATATATATATATATATATATATATATATATATATATATATATATATATATATATATATATATATATATATATATATTATTATTATTATTATTATTATTATTATTATTATTATTATTGTTATTATTGTTATTATTATTATATAAACATTTAAAATATATAAATTTTTCGAAGTCTATTTTGAAACTTTGAGGTCTGTTTATTAAATTTCAAGAGATAAATAAAATTTTGTCTTTATTTTGTCTGATGCAAAAATATTTTAAACATTTAAAAACTATTTTGATGATTCGCGGATATAAAAAAAAATTTACGTCAAACTTTTTAAACAATAAAGGTTTGATTTTTTTTAAAGATATTATCATAGATATCAACGATGTTATCATCAATTGTGAAATTGTAATTTATTTACTCAGATATATTAACATATTATTATGGTTTTTATATTAGCAAATTAATGTCTCATTTATATCAACAAATTATTATCACGAATATGTTAGCAAATTATTATCTAAGATGTATTAGCAAACTCCAATACTTTAGCGTATTATCTCAGATATATAAATGTCAAATATATAAACAATGTTTATATATATCTGATGTTTATTAAACATCAGATATATAATTATCTTCAATATTTCAGCATGTTGTTGTTTTAGATACATCGTCAAAGTATTACACAAATGTCAGATATTTTCTTTATTTTTCAAAAAAAGTTATTGCTCCATATCTTATTTTACTTTAAAAACTATTTTTACTTTCGACGAAATGTCGGTGAAAGTTTTACAAAAAAAAAAAAAAAATCATTTTAATAATATTATAATATTTTTGTTAAAATTTTAGGGTACAACGCATACGATATTCTTCATGCGACAACACATTCTGATCACATCGAGTATTTAGTAAGTGGCGGTGATGACACTCCAAACAAAAACATGCTATATGGAGCAAAAAGAGACCCTTTAAAAAATATCGGACATTGTAAATTAAAATTTGCAAATCGAAACAATAATCATGTGATTGTTGGAATTATTGTTGAAGATGATTGGGTGGAAATGAAAGATAGTTTTTTACAGACCATAAATCCACCGGAATATGTAGACAAATCTTTAAAAAAGCAAGAAAGCATCAGTAAGTCTAACATAAACTCATGTGTTTTACTGTGCAATATGTATGTGCAATAGTTTCTGTGTTGTGTTGTACTATGCAATAGCATCTACTAAATCATACTAAAACTATTATTACGTTATTACAGTTTTTGTAAGAAATGAAACATTTTTTACAAGTTTTTGATTTTTAAAAAATTAATATGACCGGATTATGGCAACAATAACTAATTTTAAATTTAATTATGAAAACGAAACACGCTAGTTTGAAAAATATTTTTTAGAAAATGGAAAGTCACTACGAACCCATAACTATCTTTTGCAATGGTCCTTGTATTAATTATTATAGTAATGAAAAAATTCGTCATTATGAGGGATAAAAATTGTATAAATAATAAAAAAATAAATCATAATAAATAGTAACAAAATAATATTTTCAAACCATAAATCAATCAATATTATCAATTTTTACAAGAATTTTATTTTTATTCAGATTTGGGATTGATAAGTGATCTTCAAAAAACAAAATGGTGCAGCAAAGGAAAACCTCCAAGAAATAAATCAAGCTTAGGTAATATTTGTTATTAGTATTTACTTTTGTTTTCTAAATTCACTTAGCCGAACATAGTGACGCCAATGGCTGTTTTGGTTGCGAAACAACTTTTAGCTAAAACAAATATTTAAAGCGGGCAAATATAAGAACTTTTTTTGGTCACGGGTTCCAATCACAGTAAATGGTCTTCATTTGACATAAGCATAAGTATACTTATGTTTAGAGCCCAATGTCTTAAAATTAAATCTTATACACCAAAATAAAAAAACTAACTTCTGTCGTAGCTTTTTGAATTTATATAGAAAATTTTTAAAAAACAACAACTCCGTCATCTTACCACCCTGCTTTTGCTTGTCCAAATTGTGACGTTGTTGTTTCAGCATTTTATAAAATATATAAATATAATATAAAATATTTTTTCTTTAATTTTTTGTTTTAGTTTCCAAAGTTTTAATTTTTTGTTTTAGTTGTGCAAGCGCTCTAACCACTGCTCCACAACCGTTTTGAAAACTAAGATATAACATTTATAAAAAGTCTAGCTTATTAAATGCTAAAGTTAATTGCATTGTTTAGTAAACTTTCCGAATAGCAAAAATATTAGGCCGGGTGAATAAAAATGAGCAATTGCTTCTTTTTAGTAATTGGTCAGCTTTACGTGAATAAAAACTTTAGAAATTTTGGTTAAGTTTTTATTCGCGTAAAGCTGAACAACTACGAAGTAAATTGCTTAACTTAACATGAATAAAAGTTTGAGCAAAACTTCTAAAGTTTTTACTCACGTAAAGCTGACCAAATACTGAGTAAAAACAATTGCTCATTTTTATTCACCTGGCCTAATGGCGCAATATTTTTTAGACATTATAAACAATATTGCATTAATATTGTTTGCTGCTCGGGTCTGCTTGTATTCTAAAAACCTGTTCGAATTTTATTATGTGTAATACTTTTACTAATTTGCAATATATTAACTTGGTTTCCATATTAGCAATTACAATTAAATAAAAATACAATTTAATAAAACGAGATAAAGTCACATCAAAAAAAGTCTAACATTGGCATCTATCTAGATAAACACCCTCTAGATAGATATTGGTAAAATTATTATGGTGATAATTTGCTTTAAAGAACCTTCATTAACTGAGTAAACAAAATAATGAATATAGTTTGATGTAAAGCGGTTTTTGGTGATAAAATCAGTTGTTTCATATGCAAGCTTTCCGCGTTCTTTAAACATTGTGTTTGTTGTACTTTAGCTTATGTAATCAACAACGTCTGTGTGTTTTTTTTTAATTTAGTTTAAGGTATAACACATGACATATAAACATTGTTGTGTTAGATTAGTCCTAGATTTAATGTTTCGATTGAGCTCAGTTTTATCGGATTCTGCACCTAAATAAAGTAAATTAGCACGTGTTTAATATTTTGTCTCACATTTGGGTCTCTTAAAAAAACAAAGGTGCTTAGCGTTTTTTGTAATGCATTCTACAAATAAGATAATGCAGTTTTACAAACTTTTTATCAGTCGTCATCGAAAATATTTTTCAAGAAAAATTAAAATCATATATGGTAACTTCCCGGTGGGAAATCGGCTAGCGAATAACTAGCTATAACCGTTACGATAAAGACAGCGATTTGGCTACGAGGATCGCTAGCTTTTTTAAGTTAGCAAAAAGCTATCGATATTTTTAAAGATAAAGACAGCGATTTGGCTACGAGGACAGCTAGCTTAACAAGCTGAAGATCCACTGGCTTTTGTACCTAGCGTCATATCGTAATAAAATCGTTGTCTAAAAAAATTTTGATATGTAGCTATCAACCAGCTATAGATTTGTAGATATTTTGTAGCTAGCTACAAAGCTACGATATGTAGCTAGCGACACATTGCTACAAAATCGCAATGTTTAAAGTTCAATTATTTGTATAGTTATAATAGACTCAACACTAAAAATCGAATTTTTAAAGATGTTAAAGACATTTGCAAAAAATAAAATAAGAAAAAAAAATCGCTAGAAAATCGCTATAGAGCTAGCTAGTCGCTAGCTCATTTCCCACCGGGTTATATTTAAATAACCAACTTCATTGAAAACAAAAACAAACTATGCAGCAAAAATATTTAAGTAAAAGAACGTACCGTACTTTGAACGTTTTTGAGATATTTTTACTTGCTCTTCCTTCACTATTGACAATATTTGAAATTTAACTAAGTGAATATAGGGGCTAAGATTGACTCTTACATAATTCAAATCCAAAATAATAATTAAATAAAAGTATTTTGTATAATATTAATTTAAATAGTCATTCAAAGTTACCCCGCAAATGGGGTAACTTTGAATGACTATTTAAATTTTGAATATGTTTTTTGTAAAAGCAAAACCTATTCAAAAACGCCTTGTTTTGTTTTAAAATTTAATAAAAACAACATTCTAGTTTCACAGTAATTTATTATTGCTAAAATACTATAACTTTTTTTCATAACAAACACCCATTTAGTATTTTATTTTGTTTAAATGGGTATTTTTTAAGTAGACTAGCATAAAAAAAGTCTCATTTACATCAGTTTCACTTATAGACTTTGCAAGTGGAACATCCTAACATTTTGCCAAAAATCCTCAAAAGAAATATTTTTAACAAGATAAAAAGTAATTTTTTTTTTCCCCTTTGAGTCTGCTTTTTCCTTTACATCAACATGAAAAAATTGTTAAAGTACATTAATTACTGCTCGGCGAACTAAAGTTGTAACTATCTGGCCAACGATTGAAGATGATACTTATATCTAATGGGTAACTCCCATATTTTTTTCAAAACCACCAAGCAACTAAGTTGTTGATTACCTTTTGATTTAACAAATATAATGATTATAAGTAAATAAAGAACAAAGAAGATTTATTTTTTGTAATAGTCTGTGCAATTTTTAAACAAAAGGTTTCCAATTGATCAAGTATTTTCTTACAATATTTTTTAAGAGATCAATAAAATGCAACATAAAGAGATTGCAATAAATGGGTAGAGTTACCAGTTATAGAACAAGATACTGTTTCTTTCTCAACAAGATATTTTCTTTAGTAAATTCAAGTTTTTCACTGTAAAAATTACTTTGATTTAAGTAATAGGAATGCTCCTACAATTTGACAAAAAACAATAACAAACCAGTCAAAAAAGTGAATAGAATCAAACTGTATTTTTGATTGAATATACATTAGGTGGTCGACTTCGGTTCTTGTTGTGCATAAATGGTCAGCTTTATAAACATAACCACAGGCACTTGACCAGAAACACTAAACACGATTGACGTAACATAACATGTTGCATATTTGTAAAAAGTTTGGACTTACCATGTGTTTTCGGACTAAGTTTTTAAACTTTATTATACAAAGTGACACTTGCACCCAATGAACATTTAATAATTTTTTTATCTAATAATGTTTATAGTTACCACAAAATTATCTTTCAGTATAATTTATATACTGCCTTGTATCAATTTTTTTCATATAAAAGTGGGATAGTACTTCTATGAAATGCTAAACAAAAACAAATTTAAAGATAAAACAGTATTTTCAACAAATATAATTCAACACAATATTGAATGCACACACAAATATTTTTTATACAAGATTTATATATATATATATATATATATATATATATATATATATATATATATATATATATATATATATATATATATATATATATATATATATATATATATGCATATATTATATATGCATATATATATCTTATATATATATCTTTTATATATATATTTATATATATATATATATATATATATATATATATATATATATATATATATATATATATATATATATATATATATATATACATATACAAACACTTAAACACACACACACACACACACACACACATATATATATATATATATATATATATATATATATATATATATATATATATATATATATATATATATATATGTATATATATATATATATATATATATATATATATATATATATATATATATATATATAAACAATGTATACGAACACATATATACACATACACACAAAGACACACAAACATTTACACACGTACACACAAAGACACACACACATATACACACATACACACAAAGACACACACACATATACACACAATTGTATGTGTATCTTTGTACAAGTCTTTGCACAAAGACACACACATAAACACACACACAAATTATGTGTGTATGTGTGACTTACTGTTTATACACATGATATTTTAATTTTTAATCACAATAATATTATGTACAATACTTAATATATTATATACAATACATGTATGACAAAGGAAATTTTAAAATTGTTTCATGTTTCTGACTATTTATGTAGTGGAGTTACTTTGAACATTATTCAAAGTTACCCGTATGCGAAAAAATATATACAATAAAGTATGTTATGCTACAGCAATGGAACATAATTATAGTAGGCAAACTATAATTTTTTAAAAAACTTCTTTAGATTTTACATGCCTTATAAATTTATAAACAAAAATTATGCAAAAATATAAACTATTTTTAAAACTTTAATGTTTGAGATTTAAACAATTTCATATAAATTCTTGCCATAATTATAACTTGAAAAAAAAAGATTTGTATTTAAAGTTACCCCGCTATTCAAAGTAACGGTTTACGGTATTTTTAAATATTTAAGTTTTAAACTCACAACATTAAATACAAATGTAAAGAGGTTTCATTAATCGAATTTTTTTATTTAATTACTAATTTAGGTGCTCCAAGAAGTCCTAATGTTCTTATCACAGCGCTCTGCGGAATAGAATTTGACCAGGAAATTCACGCCTCCTTCTTTACTAATGATGCAGTAGTAAGGAAGGAGGCGTGAATGATGCATGAAGAAAGGAGGCGTGAATTTCTTATAAAGAAAAAGGTCCTTTATTTCTAAGATATTTTAGGACTTTCAGATCCTAGTGGGGTAGGAGGAAAGGGATACATACCCCCAATTTACCCCTAGATCCTTCACTGCTAACCAATACACCAAGGCTGCACAAAAAGTGGAAGTTTAAAAGCCGCAGTATATAACTTGCGATAGAAAAAGAGTAAAATAATTGTACAATATTCTCAGTGAAATAAAAAAACTGACACAAGCGTTTTTTTTTCACTTGGATTAAGTGTATATTTTGATTTTACTTGCCAATTTGTATAATTTGTTTGGGTAACTTTTATTCAAAATATCCCACGCACAAAATTTAATAAAGGAACATAATTAAAAAAACCCAAAATTAATACTACTTATGTCATCAAACTATTTTATTATTTTTACAATTTTTAATACAAGATTACATAGAACAATATAAAATTCACAAAACTTTACCTTCTTGCATACTAGTGATTCATGCGGGGACATTTTTTATTTAATTCCCGTAAGCAACATTTTTTTTCTTTTATCTTTTTTTTTTTTTTTAGCTCTTTCCTATATATATAAATTATTTTCCACTTTGTTAGGTTACAAATATTATACGCTTTTAAGAAGTCACCCAGAACACGATGAAAAGACTGGAAACTTTAAATATTGCTTGTCAGACGATTCTGTAACAACAAACGCTTTGCTAAATGGAGCATCTCGGGATCCATTAAAGTCTGTAGGAAATTGTTTCTTGAAGATCGTTAAAGAAGAAATACACGGTATAATAATTGAGGATGATTGGGTTGAGAAAATATAATATGTAAACTTGTCTTCTTGAAATGTTTTTATTAAATTCAAAAATTTTATTCATCAAAGCTATTTCACAAAAGGAAACAAAACAATATTAGGTTAAAAGTGATAATAAAGAAATTTTTCATCGGTATCTTAAACTGAAGCTGTTGCGACGTAGACACACACTTTTTGCTTTAATATTTTAAAGTTATATAAATAGATGACGTACAAATTAGTTTTTTTGAATTAATGAGCGCTTAATTAGATTTTAAATAGAGGTACGAGCATTGCCATGGCTACTAGATCCAAGGCACCTCTTAAAACCTGTCACAAGGGCCCCAAAATCTTAAAAGATTTTCCATTAGGTATTACCAAAAAAAAAAAAGAAAAAAGCTCCTTAAACTGGCCCCTAATTAATGTAGGAGAGCCTACCACGACTCTGGGTACGAGGGATTCCTTATGCATTTATTTTGTTTAAAGAAATCATAAAATATGGAATTTTGATAAATGAATTACAAACGTAAGCAAAACCATTTTTTTAAATGTAGTACGCAAACTTGGAATGAAATCTAAAATAAATAACTTTTGATTTTAGATTTCATTAATTTTGGAGTTGAATAAATTTTGGAGTTCTTTTTTTAATTTTGAATGAGATAATGTGCTTTTACAAAATTTTAAAATGCCTGAACATTCCCTAAATAATGCTCCGTTATCGAAATCAAAAAATCAGTTATAAAATTAATCAGTTTTATTTTTTACAAAGAAATGATGCAGTTGAATAAAACTGAAAAATTTTATTGAGTCAAATAAGACTTAAATTCTCTGACAAAGTAAAAAGTAACCAAAATAGTTATATTTTAATATTTCAAAATAGGATTTATTGATATTTTGCTATCTTTGCACTGATAAAAGATGGTAAAAAAAATTATATATATATACATATATATATATATATATATATATATATATATATATATATATATATATATATATATATATATATATATATATATATATATATAGTTGGATAGTGAAAAACGCTTGCTTAGTGTATAAAATCTTAAGAAAATAAATCAGAAATTTCGTCATGCTATAGACGTTTTAAAACAAAACAAAAACAAAAAAAAAATGCAAAAATTAAGGGATGACAAAGGAGTTAACATGTCCGTTATTTACAAAAAAGTGTAAAATGCAGTGTTTATAGTCTGTTGTTCATTCTGTTGAATCGTGGAATTAATTATGAATTTTTTCATTTGTACCTTGTCACATTACAATCTTTTCTTTGATAATTCTTGTCGCTGAAAAGTCTTAAACATAACAATCAGATTTTCCTCTCATACAATGTTACAAACGTTGCAAACGTTACAAACTATATAAATTCCGCGCTTTGAAGCTGTAAAAACTTTATTTAAGTGTCTCCATAGAAACACAGTTGAATCAAGAAAAATCTCTTTAGAAATTGATTGAGTCATTTAAATTTAAAACCATGACGAATATTCTATTTAAAGTTCTTCTAGGAAACAACTAGAAAGTATGAAAATCAGTATTGAGGATTTGAAATAACTTTTTCTTCTTCAACATTATATTTATTACATTATTAATGTAATACGTTGGATTTTCTTGTCCCCACACCCGTAATAAACTGCATTACAGTTTTATGCCTAACTTTTTACGGTTTTCTTATCAGAGTTTTCTCAAAAGAGGAGGAAAAAGCAGAAAAAGAAATTAATAAGATTAAATTTTTTTCAAAGTTTTTAAGGTTGCCGCAAAAGCAACAACAAACAATTTTTTGTTTTTAAAGCTCTCTGAAAGTAAAGCAGAAGAAAATGAAGAACTCAGTCTGCTGGAGAAAAAATGCAAAATTTTAAAAGATTTTGCATGAAAAATTTTAATATCATTTTTAAGGTCCGTTTCTAGATTTTTCAAAGCGCTTTAACAATTTTTTACGTCAGAGTGAAATCCATTCAATTGGAATTATCAGAGAGGTTTTCGATCCTCTTTTGAATCAATCCGCACTTTAAAAAATTTTTTAAAATAATTCTGGAATCATTACTAAAAGCAGTCTGGCTATTTAATAAATTGTTTTAGTCAAGACACTAATATAATCTTGAAACTTCAAGAATTATTTAAGATTGTTTTACTGACCTTCTAATTGTTTCTGTTGGATATGATCTTGATATATATATATATATATATATATATATATATATATATATATATATATATATATATATATATATATATATATATATATATATATATATATATATATATATATATATATATATATATATATATATATATAAACAAGGGGCGAATTAAGTGATCGCGAATTCAAAATTCCGAAAAAAAGTCTGGTCTTTAAATTTTTAGTTTCTTAAAAAAACGTGAACTCAGTTTTTATGGATTTTAAAAATCCACTATAGCTAATTTCATTAAAACTCTCATAACTTAGTTATGAGACTTTCATAACTTAGTTATGAGAGTTTTAATGAAATTAGTTATAGTTGATTATTAAGATTCATAAAAACATTCACTTTTTTTTAGGAAACTAAAAAATTTAATGACCAGAATTTTTTTCGGAATTTTCAATTCGCGATCACTTAATTCGCCCCTTGTTTATATATATATATATATATATATATATATATATATATATATATATATATATATATATATATATATATATATATATATATATCAAGATATATACATATATATATATATATATATATATATATATATATATATATATATATATATATATATATATATGTATATATATATATATATATATATATATATATATATATATATATATATATATATATATCAATCCTCCTGTACATTTTCAACTGAATGTGTTTCTTAAATTTAAGTTTTTCGCAAATAGCATAAACTAGTCAATGTATTCTTAAATCGTTTAGGTTCATCACTTAAAACAGAGATGTTATTTATTATATAAATTTAGTTCTTATTTATAAATTTATTTTTTTATTCTGAAAAATTTCGATCTTATTGCCGTAGGGGTCATCCATAGAAAACGTCTCACTCGGGGGCGGGGGAGGCAGGCATTTTTGACAATTTTTGACAAAGAGGAGTATCGATAAATGTAACGTCACAAAAATTATTTTAGCATGACAATTTCATTATTGATTCTTTAGTCATTCAAATAAGGAAATGTTTTAACCAAAATTTTACTAATACTTTTTATGTTTATTTATTATAATTTATTATAACTATTTTTAATAATTTCAAGTTTTAAACGCAGCAAAGTATTTATATCGCCAAAATAATTTAGTATGTTTTTCGCTAAAAAACTGCTATTTCAGTTTTGAAGAGCAGTGCAGGTTGTCTACTTAATCTAACATGAAAAGTTTGTTATCTTTTTAGTAATAACAGTCAGTTACTGACGCGACTTTGGATGAGTCTTTATGACTACTTGTAGCTGTTAATCTAAGTCAACAATATCTTCGGATATAATAAAATTGAATAGCAAAATATAGCATGAAATTTAAATTGAAAAAAACAAAAAAACATTAGGCTCAATAGTTAAAAATATTATTTTTCACTTTATGATCATTACCTTCTCAGCGGGCAATGATCGGGTTCAATTTACCTAATAAACACACTAAGTCTTGAAAACGTTTCTACAATATGTTTTATACGTTTAAACGTGTTTTATACGCTTTTTGAACGTTTTTTACCCGTCGTTAAAAATAATGTTAACGACTTTTTTTAAATTGTCTGTGAAACGTTTAAAATTAAAAGCTATTAGGGAAAAACTTGGCTGCCCTGAGTTATTGCAAAACTATGAGTCGCGAAGCAATAATATTTTCTCAGTATGTTTATATTATTAAAATGATTCATTGCCTGCATGAATTTTCAGTTTGTAAACATAACAATTTGAAATACATATTAAAAAAAATGTTCATAAACTTGTCATCTGGTCACGTGACCAAGCAAGATGACTTATTATCCAACTTTTGCCTCCAATTTTATAATATTTTCAAAACTACCAATAACTCTAACTAAAGTAACACAAAATAAACACAAATCGCAAAAATCTACTTCTAAAGAAGTTAAACTTGAAAGACACCGTCCATTATGAGAAACCGAAACTGAGGAATTTTTTTTAAGGGCAAAAAGTAAACATATGCGTATAAGATTGCATTAATAATATTAAAAATAACCAATTGTTGTTTTAAAATAGAAGATGCAAATAAAGTTTCGCTTTAATTTTGAGATTTAATTTTGAGATTTTTTGTTATATGAAATCCATCTTGCCCCATTTGCCATGTTGCCCCGCTTTCCCCTATATTATTTAAAAGGTTCGGAAAATTTAAGGAGTCTGGTATTTAAATTTTTGACTGTTATTTTACAAGCTAAATTAAATGCTTTTTTTTAATGCTGCATACTCATAAAATAATCAGATTACCCCATGGGTGCGTGTTATCCTGGGACATCCGTCAGACGTCTAAAATACGTTTGGTTGTCCATTGGACGACGCGTGCCTTCTAGGTAGAACCAAAACCAAAAGATTTTATAATTTTGGTATAAAGCATTTTTTACAGACAAAGGCTAGGGTTTACATATATTTTTTGCCATTAAAAGCAGACCATAAAATCTCCATTAAATAATCATTAAAAATTCTCAAAAAGAAGCAATTTTATTATTTTTTTTATTTCTGAAACATTAATGAACGCCAAGAATGATAGAATTATTATGCGCTTGCGAGGCTGAGGTTTTTAATATAGAAACTCATATTGAGCATAGCTAAAAGCTTCACGTTTAGATTTTACGTTAAGCGTTTAGGACACAACAATTGCTATATATAATGCTTAAAAAAAATTCAGTCAAGTTTTTAATTTAACGTGTGCTCAAAACTTCAGAAATTTTGATTGGTGTTCAAATTATAGAAGCAAAAAAGAGAAGTAAAGTTTTCTAGCTTTACTATTTAAAGTTAGGATACATTATTTTCATAACATATTTAGTGAAGCAAGTAAGTTATTTTACAACTTAACGGAATGTAATAAAAATGGTTTTTAATTATTTTAGCGTAATTTTCATACGAATTCTTATGTTGTTTTTTTAATTATCATTTTAACTTGCTTTTTATGTCATTATTATTATTTTCTTTTACTTTTAATTATTACTATTATTATTTTTTACTTTTTTTAACTAGTTTTAGAGTTCTTAACAATTTTAAAACACTTTTTGCCAAACAAACGATTTGGGGTTATTATTCGTGCTATATCTTTGTTTTTTTATTAGATTTTAAATGGGCATATCGTTACAATACTTAAAAAATAATTATATAATAATAAAAATATATAGATAATGATTGTTATAAAAATAATAAAAGACCGCGGGGACTCGTACAAGACCTAACGGTCTTGTCGTCGAGTACCGCTAAGAAATGTTCGTGTTAAAGTTTATAAAATATTTAGAAGATAAAAAATAAGTTAACGAAATAAAAACTTAAAATATTACGTTATAAATACAAGATGCGTTATATCAATTATATATGTAGATTACAGTTTTTAATGATACATATATAATTTTTATGAATTCGTGTTTAAATAGAGAGTAAAAAGGAAGATCACTTAAAAATATGAGAAGTATATTGTTAAATCTTCGATTATAAAAATGAGTTCTTTAAGTTTTCGTTTAAAATAAAAGTAGTAACTTTGATGAATAAAATCCTCAGTAAAATTTTTTAAGACTATTATATATATATATATATATATATATATATATATATATATATATATATATATATATATATATATATATATATATATATATATATATATATATATATATATATATATATATATATATATATATATATATATATATATATATATATATATATATATATATAGAGAGAGAGAGAGAGAGAGAGAGAGAGAGAGAGAGAGAGAGAGAAAGAGAGAAACGCATACAGTCTATACACTATTAATATTTATAATCATTTTATTCATATTTAGAATTTATGAATTACGTACTAATAATATTATTTGTGGCTTGCTCCTGCATCATTGGACTTTTAATAGTAATTTACATATGGAATGAAATAACAAATAAATCTATTGCTATGATGCCTAACGTAAGCTGGTCACTCTCACACGATATGCACAACTGTGATTTTCATTCTACGCCTTTTAAATCTACGAAGATTTTTCTTATACAAGATTCGCCAGTTAAAATAGATTCAACAAACTGTAACATGGATTCAGAAGTATTGGATGAAACATTGCAATACTCTTTTAGTAAAAAACCGCCATCATATAGTCTGCAACAAGTATAAAATCAATAAATAAAAAAATGTCGATAGCGATTTGACACTGTTTAATCATCTTTAAAAAATGAAAATTGAAAAGATTTTTTTCAAAAATTATTTTTATTTTAGTTATTTTTTCAGCAGTACAACATAAAAAATTTTAAAGAAATTATAAATCGTAATTAGAAAGTTATTTTTAAGTTTTTTTTTTTTTTTTTTTTTTTTATTTATGTTTAAAAAAAATTGTTGATACGACCTCCTAAAGTTTTTGTTACACAAAATAGTTTCTTTATTAATTTTGTATACGAGATTAAAGTTATTTCTGTAAATAATATTTTTCATCAATTTTTTTTTAAACATATATACGTTTTTAAATAACAAACTTTAATTAATATTTATAATTTTTTTCAATTTAATATTTTATTATGAAAAAAAACTTAAGAAAATTCTACATAAAAAAAGTTTAATCAATTACCGTTGCACAATATAGCAAAACAAAGATTAATAAAAATTTCTTAAGGATCTTGTTCCCTGAACCAAGTAAAAAAACATATAGTTAAAAAAAAACAATTTAAAAACAGTTGAAAAATATTATAATAACTTTATATCTCAAAAATATTATCATATAAAATTAATTGAAAAATAGAATTAAAAATAATTAGTTTTAAAAATAGAAAAGAAGATTGAAAAATAAAAACTTTATTAATAGCGTAATAGGTTTTAAATAAAAAAGTTTTGTAATTATCAATTGCTCATATATATTCTTAAAATAAATTTGTTAACTGTGAAAAACAGTTTTTAAAAGATATTAAACGTTTTGTGTGTTTCTGGCGTTGGGAAAGATATTGCAATTTCAATCAGTACTTTTTATGACAATATTTGAATTGCATATATAAATATGAATGAATGAATATATTTTTATGAATGAGTCATAGACTTTTATTTAAATTTAAATTCGTTATTCATAACTCCTATCATTTGACCGATTTAGTGAAAATCCCTATATAATGCTTTCATCTAACATTTTCATCGAGTTAAATGTTTTAACCAACTCCTTTTTTTTATTTTAATTTATGAATGGAATTATCATCAATTAAACTATCGTTCAAGTACTGTCGCCTTCATTGTTTTAAATAGAGATTTTAGAGGAAGCAACTTTTCTATTTCAGCTTGAACAAAATTCCGGTAATAACCAATTTAAAATTAAGCCTTAATATTAAAAAAAAATAGATCGTTGCGCCACTGATTCACATTTCCTAAAGCTATTTTATAATTAATACAGATAACTGTAACGATAACTTGTATTTAATGGCCATTAAACCATTATAGTGAAAGTTTAATTCATAAAAGAGTTTTAAAAATAGCTGTTTAAGCGAGCCAAAAAATGCGGAGTTCACATGAGTCCCACCCATTTTAATTAACTCAAAGATAAACTCAACAAACAAGTACACCTCAGTCAATGATTTGGAAAAGGAACTAAAAGATTCATATAAGAATTCATACAAGAACACGAGTGAATTTTTAGTGGAAAAAAACTGTTTTTTTAAATGTTAATAAGCTATTACTTTACTAAAAGATTTACTTTGTATTTTTTATTAAAAATAAAGGTGCTTGTTTCTATATTCCTAATATATAATTAGTTCTTCTTCCAAATCATTAACTGAGGCGTATTTATTTGTTGCAAGAGTGACTGTAACATTACAGTTTTTTGAGCTTCTTTTAATTCTTCAACAGTTTTTAATACCCTGTCTAGAAGAAAGTCTAAACAAGCATAATAAAAACAAGCATAATAAAAACAAGTATAATAAAAACAAGTATCATAAAAAATTGTTGTTCTTATATCTTAAAGATTATTTTCAAACACATGATTTTATATTAAATTTTTTACAATTAGATGATATTCGATGGATATGGTATTAATTGAGAATATTTTTGATGGGATAGCCAAAAAGTTTGATGGGATTGACTACAAAAGTTTAAAGGCATTGACAAAATGTTTGATGGTGTATACAACTGTATGTTGACTTCAAAAATTAATTGAGATGAGGTTAGGGCCGTACAAAGCATATAGACTGGAGGGTGTAATTTTATTTGTTCATATTTTCATAGGAAAAAAAAAGTCTTTTGTTGAAATATTTTTTAAATCCGGTGATACATTTTTATTATTATTGTTCGCAAATCGAAAAAAGAAGTAAATGAATAATACTTGTTTAAAAAATAATAATTTTATAAGCAAATAACAAGAAAAAAAAATGTTTTGTTATTGAGACACAACGGAAAAAAAAATGTCTTGTTATTGAGACACAACGGCACACCATGCGTCGCGAAGCGGAAATAGGATTTTACTTACTTTTAAGAAAAATTTTTTCAACTTTTATATTTTAAATATTTTTTAACTGAAACAAGTTAGTATTAGTTAATAAAAAAAAGTTTTTTTAAAAATTTTTTTAAATTTGTCTTTTTAGGTGCGGGATTTTCAGGGGTAAAAAAACCCACGTTTTCACTATATCTTTGAATTACATAAGATAATTTTCAAATTTCTTCATTTTTTTTTTGCACATTTTCTAATAAATGATACATTTTGTAAATTAAAAACCAAGAAAAGAAAAAGAAAATGTTTGGATCATTGTTTTTGGGTGTCTATATTGATTAATCGATTAGACCATGTTACTACAGAGGTAGCAAGTTTTTTATTTTTTTAAAATTTTCTCAAACAAATTGACTTTTTATAAGTGAAATAATATTCTGGCTACCTCTGTAGTAACATGCTATAAAATCAATTGAGAAGAGGTGGATTTATTAAAAACCGGTTAGTTAGTTTTTGTTCAGAAAAAACTGGATGCGGGCGGAACTTTCTTTTAAGTTATAACCTAAGTTCGGCTCTCATCGTGATTTAAGCCCGTTCTCCATTCAGAACTTTTTGCGCTTTGGAGGAGCGGAAAAGTTCTTTGAGCATGCGCAAAAAGTTCTGATAGGAGAACGGATTTTAAAAAACTGTTTGCGCATGCTCAAAGAACTTTTCCGCTCCTCCAAAGCGCAAAAAGTTCTGAATGGAGAACGGCCTTTAGAATTTTTTAAAAATGGTTACTTTTAATCTTAGCAAACTTCTGGCTAATGATTTTCCTCCGAGGCATATTTTCACAAGTAAAAATGTATCTAAAGGTGCTATATTTTTGCAGTCCAAGTTTTTATCACTTTATGCTGATTACACTGTGAATTTCAACATTTTCAAAAGTCTGGCTTTTAATTTAATAAAAAAATTTAATGAGTGTGGAAAAAGAAAAGTGTTCTTTCTTACTAGATATAAACATTTTTTGGATCAAAATCAACAATGCAAATATCTCTTGTGAGTATAATATATTCTATAATGGTTTATTATAAATAAGTAATAAATATTGCATATATATATATATATATATATATATATATATATATATATATATATATATATATATATATATATATATATATATATATATATATATACTATAATGCAATATTTATTACTTATTTATAATAAATCAATATAGAATATATTATACTCACAAGAGATATTTGCATTGTTGATTTTGATCCAAAAAATGTTTATATTTAGTAAGAAAGAACTTTTTTCTTTTTCCACACTCATTAAATTTTTTTAATGAGTATATATATATACAGGGCCGGCGCGAGTAGGTGTCACGTGGGGGGGGGGTGTCATTACAACTTTTGCCGACTTAAAAAAAAAAAAAAAAAGGTCCTCGTTTTCCAAAAATTGCCGACTGTCATGACGACATTTGCCGACTGTCTAACCTATATCGAAAGGGAGTCCACATTTGCCGACTAACTAGGTCCAATTTGCCGACTAAGGGTCCAGTTTGCCGACTAAAAATCATTGATGGGGGGGGGGGGTGTCACAGCCCCCCCACACACCCCTATCGCGCCGGCCTTGTATATATATATATATATATATATATATATATATATATATATGTATATATATATATATATATATATATATATATATATATATATATATATACATATATATATATATATATATATATATATATACATATATATATATATATATATATATATATATATATATATATATATATATATATATATATATATATATATATATATATATATATATATATATATATATATATATTAGACTTGTGCGTGTAGATTAGAAAAAGATTCTGAAAAAGAGATTAGAACACATGAGGAAGAACTGCTATTAATTAGAAAAGGTGAAAATCTGATTAACCAGGGTAATCAACTTATCAAGTAGGGTGAGCGTAAAATAAAAGAAGGGGAATTACTGCTTTGTACTCATGGATCCAATGTTAACAGGTATGCATAGATAAATGTATCTCCCTCTCTTTATTTTGCACACACACACACAAATTGTTTGACTATGTTTCACAAAACCTTCAAAATGTATATATGTTTCAATGTATTTTTTTATTATTTATAGTGTACCATGCTGAGTACCTAATTCATCTGCAGTCAATACATCTTGTACACCAAAACCTAGAAAGTCTTTTATTAAGCTTACAAACAGGATGAAGCGTAAAAGAACAGATAGTCTTAGAGAGCAAGAGGTGGAAGAACTGCAACATGCTGTCAAAAGGTTCAAATCTAATTCTTCTACTGATGGTAGGGCTATTTTATATGGTTCAAATTTGTCATTGCAAGCTCTTTGTAATTTGAAACTTACAGATAGAACATGGACTGAATTTAAAAATATAGTGACTCATAATTGTCATCTTGTTTCTCCAGGTTTAACCAAGTTGAAGCAATACAAAAAATTGACATATCCAGAACAGGTTGAATATTCTGAAACCGAAGTAAAATGTTGTCTTTTCCATATGATAAAGCATTCAGTTTCTAGAGTGTTTGAATATCTTTTGGATTATGAAAGTAACTGCATAATGAGTTTATCACAAGAAGAGTGTGATAATATACAAATTATTTGCAAAGTAGGAGGTGATGGTCAAAGTGATCAATCTGAGTTTCAAAATTCAGCAACTATGAAAAGAGGTGTAGATGATCGTTCTGTGTATAGTATAGTGTTTGTACTGCTGGAGATCCGAAGTGGAGAAAAAATAATATGGAAAAATTTAATTCCATAGTCCAGATGCAACCCGTCATCTTCTTTTTTGTTTTGCAAAAGAGACTGCTAAATTTATTCAGGAAAAATTTGAACATTTGAAAAATGAAATTTTTTTATTGAGGAATATTGAATTTAAACTTGGTGAAAGTACTTTTGTAGTAAAGTCTAGTTTGTCAACTATTTATACCACAATGAATGATGGCAAAACACTAAACGCTGTTGTATCAAATATGCTTAAAAAAAAAAATTTCATCTCAGTCCTGCCATGTATGCCTTGCAAATTCTAAGGAGTTTAACTTGAAAACTATTTGGAAAAAAAATAATAATTTAAACAAGCATGTTTTGAAACTTGGAATTTGCAGTCTTCATCTATGGATGCGCTGTATGGAGTGGATTTTCAATACTGCTTGTAAACTCCCAGCTGTTAAGCAAGGAAGAAATATTGCATCACAAAAGAGTAAAGAATTTATTGAAAACAAAAAAAATTCCAGCATTTATTCAAGATACAACTGAATATAAGGGTTTCTTTTGTCAGGAAAGGATGTGGAACAACCAATACTGGAAATGTTGCTCGCAAATTTTTTAATAACCCGATTGTGACAGGGAGAATTTTAAACTTGGATATCAGAATGATTAGGTTATTTCGAGATTTACTCTTTGATATAAACAGAACAACTACAAGACCGGATATAAAGGTTTTCAAACAGAAATCTAAACATCTATTTGCACTCATAACTAATGATAAATTTTTAAAAACCATACCTATGTCACAATCTGTGCATAGACTGATAGTTCATGGTACTTCTTTTATAAGGTATTTTAGGTATCCGATATGTTCTTTGTCTGAGATTGCTATTGAAGCCAGAAATAAGGAAAACAAAACTGCTCGAATTGGTCATGCTCGTTTAATCTCTTTTGCAGAAAACACTAGGAATACAGCTAATTATTTGTTTATGACATCTGATATGTACCTCTTTTGCAAAAAAAACAAAATGGATAAAAAAGAGTGAAAACAAAATAGTTTAAGAAAGTGACAGTTCTTCTGATAACTGCTTAAAATAAAGGTAAAATAGTTTTATTATTAATATTGTTTATTGTTTTAATTGATTTTTTTTGGTTAGGCAATCTCATAATTTTGGTTAATTAACAATTCAAAGTTTCGTTTTTTTTTTTGGTTTTTTTTTATGTTTTTAAAAATAAATTTAAGAAATAATTTAATCAATTTTAACAAGTAATTAACTATTTTAGGAAGTAGGACCATGAAGAACCATACTGATGAGCTGTTCTGCGTTGAATTTTTAAAAAACGGCTATTTTTATAGCCACAAGTTATTAAAAACATCTATTAGAATAGAACGTTGAAAAACTGTGAAAGAATGCAAAGAGCCAAGTATCATATGATAGCAGAGTTGTTTATTATATTCAATGATATTGTTTATTTTGAAATAGTGTTCATATACATAGTTAGTAAAATTCTATAAAATATAGGCGCCTACTTTTTTTTGAATAAAATCATCCGGACTTGTGTAGTTTTCCGGACAAATCTAGAATTAGTCCGGACTAACCGAAAAAAATACAGTAAATTGTTTTTTTATGAAAACCATTTACTGTAAAAATATGATTCTTTTAAATATAGAAATATAAATAAAAATTCGATGTCTTGTGAAAAAATAAGTTAAATATTTTAAGTCCTTCTTTATTTATATGCCTATTTCCTCATTTTGTATATAAACATCGCAAAGTGCGGCATAGTTAGTTATTGAATTTGAATACGTCGTTGTGTTGTTATAAAAAACTTTGTTACTCTTTTTTACTTTTTTTACTTATTAACTTGTATTTTCTTTTGTTCAAAATGTTGGCAAGAGTTTAATCAGTGGCATTCCGTAAATTGTCATGTGAAACTTTTACTTTAGAAGCCCTGTGATTTCAGTAAGAATCTTTTCTAAATCTATTTTGTTTGTAAATTTTAATTCACTTGGTTAGACGGGATTCAAATTCATCACTAGGTTGAGACTTTGGAAACAGAGTTTGATCATAAAAATCTAGAATTTTAGGCAATCATGTTTTTTTTCATCTTTGTTATTATCAAGATATTCACAATACTCGCATATAATATCAATTCTTATAATTCATATTCACAATACTAGCATTTAACATTTAATTTCTAATGATTCATATTTAATTGTTTCAGAGAGTCAATGAGAAAGAATAGTCTTTCATTGATATTTGTTTCCACTTCATTTTTTCACTTCATTTGTAATATTTAAAATCAATTTTAGACAAAATTATTTTATTGAATGATTGGGCATTCATTGCCAAATCGTTTTCAAAAGGGTTTCTTGGTGCACTATATTTTCTCATCAGATATGCTTTCATCATTTCAAATATGATTAGAAAAATAAATGCGATTATGTGTCAGACAATAGTCATTATCAAAAATTGAATGTGAGCAGTACTTAACTTTGCGTTTTACTTTGTATCTTTTAACGCTGGGTGATAGTATCTTGAATTCAAAATCTATAAAAATTACAAATTTGAGAGCGATTACTAGGTTTATAATTAGTAACTATCATTTCTTAGCAAAGGTTAATTGAATAATAAAAATTGTTGAAGGATTAACATACTTTGTTAGGATTAATAAAATTAGTTTTGTTTTAGAAGAATCTAAAACTTAGTACTTAGTACTAGTTTAAGTCTGATATAAATTGATTTTCATTTTTTTAAATTAATAACTAATTAAAATCTGGTTCAAAAAGACTTAACGGTTAGTTCACAATGCACCGCGGATAAACATTTACGTAAAAAGTTCACGCCGTCTTCCATACCTATGACGTTTATAGTTTTAAATGAAACAAATAAATATCAAATTTGTCTATAAGTATATAAATGAGACAAAAACTTAAAATAGTCTGAATGATAGAACCCCAAATTATCATGTCAGACTTCAAAATACTCTAAAAGAGACGTAGCAAAAAAGCAATGTTAATGGAGGCTACAAACATTTTAAATGTAATTTTCAAGACAGCAACCAGAGCATTTTCTTGCATTGAAAAAAGATTTAGAATTAGAGAGTAATGCAATCGACCTAAAAAATATGTTTTTTCTGTGTGACAATTATGCTTATAATGTTGAATGGATTGGGAGTAAATAATTTTCTTTTTTACAAATTCTGATACTTTCTCTTTTATTAGGTTCAAGAGAGAGAGAGAACCGGCATCTTCTATTGTTGAAAAGATTGTGCTCTGCATGCTTTAATCTAAGAATCTGCAATCTTTAATTCTAGTAGCATGGGAGTTTACGTGTCATTAAGCTAGCACAGTTCACTGGTGATGTTAAAACTAAGCGCTTTTCTTTCAAAAGATACTTTAAGATTTTTGTTTGTTACACTTGAAGGGTTCAGCTCTTTTCCTCCAACCACATGTTTTTTTTGTGTGTCATCGCGTAACAAAGCAAACAACAATTCTTAAACTTTGACTTAAGTCTCAATTAAGTAGAAATCACCACAAAAGATTGTGCTAGTTTAATTGTTTGCTTAACAAACACATTTTTCTGCATCCATATACATTTAAACTATTATAATTATTATTTTTATTATATATATATATATATATATATATATATATATATATATATATATATATATATATATATATATATATATATATATATATATATATATATATATATATATATGTGTGTGTTTTTTTTTTTTTGAACATCGCATTAGCAATAAATTTGTAAAAATTTTAACAAAAATCACAATATTTTTTATTCTTGACATGTTTCGTAGTCTTACTGACCAATTATTTCGACAATTGGCACATATAATTATAAATTTGCTAAACATCTTTCAGATTTATTATCTCCGTATTTACCAAAACATTAAACCACTTTTGACTCATTTTCGTTCGTTGAAGATTTGAAATGGGTTGACGTGGCTGACAAATTTATAGTTTCTTATGATGTTGAAAGCTTATTTACTAACATTCCACTCAATGAAACTATAAATATAGCAACAGAATTGTTTTTTAAAGATAAAACTCGCTCAAAATATTTTTCTAAAACTCATTTCAATTCAAAAAATTACTTCAACTTTCAACGTCAGGTTCTCATTTCTTATTTAACGGAAAATTTTATGATCAATTAGATGGCGTTGCAATGGGTTCTCCTTTAGCACCAATTTTAGCTAATATGTTTATCGGTTTTCATGAACAAACGTGGTTTAATAATTGCTCATCCTCCATACCAATTTTTGATAAACGTTATGTGGATGACATAATAGCAACTTTTAATTCAGAGTTTGAAGCGCAAGAATTCTTTAAACATCTCAATAAACAACACAAAAACGTAAGGTTTACTATGGAAAAAGAAAAAGACAACCAAATTCCATTTTTGGATGTTCTTATTAATAAGTCTAATTCACTCTTTACATCAGTTTATCACAAAAAAACATACACAGGTCTTTTACAAAATTTCTTTAGTTTTGTCCCTTCATGTTACAAAACTGGTCTTATACGTTGCTTGATTGATCGAACATATAAAATTAACAACACGTGGTTTGGATTTGATAAGGATATAAAAAATCTTTCTTTAGTTTTAAAAAATAATCAATTTCAGCAAAAAGTTATCGACAATGAAAATAAATTATATGTTAAAAAGAAAATTAATCCACCTGTTATAAATCCTGTTGATAATACTAATATAAGATATTTTAAGCTTCCATTTATTGGATTTTACTCAAATTTCACCAAAACTAAAATTGATAAAATTATTAAAAAGTATTGTAAATATGTAATAATCAAATTTATATTCACAACCGATAAATTAAAAAACAGTTTTTGCATAAAAGATCCACTTCCTAAGATGCTTAAATCTAACGTTGTCTAAAAATTTTCTTGTGCTAGCTGTAATGCCAGTTATATTGGAGAAACATCCAGACATATGACAACAAGGATAAATGAGCACCTTACGAGTGACAAGCAATCGCATATTTTTAAACATTTAAATTCATCCATTAATTGTAAAACACTAACTAATTATAATTGCTTTCAGATTTTGGATACT